CCTCCCTCCCTCCTCCCTCCTCCCTCCTCCTCTCCATCATCATCATCATCATCATCATCATCATTATCATCATCATCATAATCCTTCACCTGCTCGCAGTCCTTGTGGCTCCTAACAATGTGCTGCGTCAGGTCCTTGACGTAGACTCCCTTCTCCAGGTCCTGTCACGCCCCCTCGTCACGTCCCCTCACGGCCGCTGCCAACGACACCTCCTTCAGGTCCAGCTTCCTGCTGGGATCTTTGCTAAGCAGGTCTCTGACCTGTCTCAGCCGTCAGCCCTGCAGAGCTCTGGAGCCGCCAAGGGCTCGTGGACCTCCTCGTTGTAGATCTCGAGGTACGATGCTCTGATCAGGAACGACACGTTCCGCATCCCATCGATCTGCAGGAGGAGCAGGTCAGCTGGGAGAATGGCGGTCGACCGTCGTCCCCGACCTGCTCGAACATGAAGGAGAAGGAGCGAGGAGTGATCCCTCGGAGCTCTGGGACCTCCCACACTCCCTGATTGCAGGAGCAACTCAGCGGCACACTGGCATGCTCCCCTCGTCCTCCCTCACCTCCATGGTGTGCGTCTTTCCTGTCCCGGTCTGGCCGTAGGCGAAGATTGTACCGTTGTAGCCGTCCATCACAGACTGGCAGATAGGAAGTCCGGTCGTCTCGAAGAGGTAGTCCTGTTTGGTGTTGGGAGGATACACCTGGCCAGCGGCGAATCAGCTCTGCCTCCTTGCCCTCTCAGGCACCGACCATGTCGAAGGTGAATCTCTTAGGGGGCTCGTTGATCTCCTTGGGAGGGTTCACTGCGATCTGTGGGGATTTCCATTATGAGGGGGGGACGGGGGGAGGGGGGGAGGAAGGAGGAAGGATGAAGGAGGAAGCGGCACCTCCCCAATCTTGTCGTCGATCTCTACGATCATTGTCTTCTCGTTTTCAACCTCCTTGGAGGAGAGAGGGCGGCATCTGACCACAACCTGAACGAGCGTCATTCGCAGTTTGCAGAGGCTATCACGAAAAGGGTGACTCGGTCTTACCCGGACAGTCTCTGACTTTTTGTCCATCATAGTCACACCCATGACCGCATTGGCGGCAGCTGCAAACAGCAGGCAGCTCGCAGTCAGCACCTTGCCTGCTCCACCACAAGCCTCTAGGTTCATAATTTTATCGCTGCCCTATCAGGTTCTGCCTCCTAGTCCTCCTGCTGGTCATCTTGTTCACCTCTCTCAGCCCAAGTTCTCTCCTCGGAGGTTCTAGAGCATTCTCACGGTCTTCTCAAGTGCAAGGTCTTGTCGCACATGCGGCGACTCTCCCATAGCTTCTTGAGTTCCTCGTTCGCACTCCTTACCTTTCAGCATTTCGCCCAGTCTTCCAACTCCCGCCAGACTGGCAGGTTTCAGTGAGACTACCCCACCCCCTTGCTTCTTCCAAGTTAGCCTTGCTAGAAAGGTTGCCCTATGATGGTCCTGTATTCTCTGATCAAGGTAATAGGAAAATGAGGGTATCATCACTACCACCAACCCCTGCCATGCGGATGACAGGTCAGTACCCCCACCCACCTAAATAGCAGAGAAGTTTGGGTTCACTCTGGGTGGTACCTTTCAAATAGCTTTCAAACTCTTTCTATCTGAGGTCTGCCATCTTTCCAGGTTCTCAATGACCAACAGGTCTACCATCTTTCTCGGATCACCTTGGCGACGCATTACAATATTGCAATGGGTGGGTGGTCCCAGTACCGGTACTTTATAGGTGAAAACACCTGGTGATATGAAGGCACCTTCACATTCTGAAGGGGTGGAGGTCCAGAAGTGATGCTTTGGGGAAGAGATTATGCTGAATCGAGAAGCGAGGACTGGGAGAACGAGGGAGACAGAAAGGATCTGGAAAAGGGAGAGAGGAAGGAGAGAGATGACTGAGAGGAGGAGAGGGGAGAGGAGAGGAGAGGAGAGGAGAGGAATGGGCATTGACATCCATGGCCATCAAACTTTCCTTGTTGCGGGCACAACTCTTGCAAATTTCGAGGAAGTGATAGATTGATATGATACGGTCTGTTTCCGTTCAAGACATGATGCTGGGTCGGCAGGAGTTGTGTGGTTGGAGGAGGACAATGCCGCACGACAGCCATGGTTGACCAGAATGCTTGTTGGTTGAAGGTCCACATGACCAGAAGTGAACAGGCAACTATGTGGAGAATGCCTTGATCAAGAACGCGTTAGAGAATATGAACAGGTTTAAAGTCTCATCCATCTTCGACTCCTTACTCTCAATCTTCCAGGGTTGCCAAGAATCAGCAAAAGCTTGTGACCAAGGAGCTTGAAATGATCGCATCGGTCTTGGCAGGTGCAGCGGCAGCATCATTCATGGCATCAGAATGACATCTTTTCGGGCTCCCCTAGACTTGAAGAAAGGAAAGCCAAGCAAAGACGTTGCAGGCACAGAGCTCTCAAGGTGTGCCCTGTCTTGCACGCTGAACTCCCGCATGCCCTGAGGCCTTCAAGGCTGGTTGGACGGATACAGGTCTTGAAACGGAAGCTGGAGGACGTGGACAAGGTGAAGGATGTGCTGCAATGTAGGGGAAGGATGTGACTGAGCTGTAGGAGGAAGATACAAAATTGGAACATATGGAAGCGAGGCTTCACCTGCTGAGGTGATTGGGAGGCGGCACTTGGCTGCGACTCTTACCTTTGTTTTGCCCTCTTCTTCCTCATTCCTACATCCTCATCAATGCTGTTGGATGGTGATGAAGTTGCTGATGATCTCATGGCAGAGAAAATCAAGAACATGTCGACGATACTCGATGCGCTATGTGACGTGATCGTTAGCTCGACTTCCCTTCACTCATCCCACTTCGTAGAAAGGAGAACAAGCGGTTGGACAGATTTCTTGCAGATCACCTCGCAAGGTTTGGGATGCTGGAGACTGCGTCTATGATTATCAAGGTGGACATGTTATCTCTTTGTTATGATGCTCGAGCCAGAACAATGATGCTGAGATGATGGCAACAGGAGGAGAACCTCGAGAGATTTGTCGATCTAGACATGTACAAGGAGGTCCTGCGCTTGTTACTTTGGATGCTGTTGGTAAAAACTTCTGTTCAGGCAGCCCCTATTCTTGCTGCTCTCCTGGAAGGGGACTGCAGTCCAGGTGAGCTCACAGATGATGACTGTGAAAGGCTGCTGTCTCCCATCATCTCACACGATCTTAGCCATAAAATGGTGCCAAGCAAACAAGACGAAGCTAAAAAAATCAAAGGTGATGGTGTGAAATAAATGTAATCGCCTGTTGACATCTGGGGTGCTCGTTGGTTTTCAACAGTCAAACCTTGAGTTTCAACTTCGATTACAAGCTTTTGTGGAGCTGGTGCGTAAAGAAGCCGTACAGGTTCACGTCAACCACTTGTCCTATTTCTTCTCATCTCTTGTTCACAGGAGGCGGTGCAGTATGCTAGGAAGCACCTCGGGCCTTCTTGCAAGGAAAACTTTGTGACCATTAAGAAGTATCTCCTAGCTCCCAGCCCTTCCACTGTGATCTGAGAGGTTGTGAAGGTACATGGCAATCCTGGCGTTCCAGAGAGACACAGATGTGATGAGTTGCTGGGATTTGAGTGTGAGCTGAGTGTTGGGGTTCAGGTCCAGCCCTACAAAGGATTGTTTGAGAATGAGAGGAGGATAGAACTTGCCAAACAGTTCAAGAAGGAGCTTTGCCTTCTCAACGCGATATCCTCCCAGGAACTTTTGCGTCAACCCCGTTCATCCCTGCACTCTGACATTCCTTGCAGTCCCTGCTGATGATTACTCTCCAAGCAGGTCTGACTTGTCTCAAGACAACTCGTTGTGTCGAAGTACTCTTCTCCTATCCGTCCATCGCTCTTGCTCACCTCTCCTCATCAGGACCCCGAGCCAAACAGCGGATGCCCCGTCTGTCATCCCGTCCTTGCTCAGATTGCTCAGGATCTCCCTATTGCGGTCTTTCTCCCCTCCTCTATGCCTCTCTCCCTAGCTCTTTCCCTCTCTGCTCTCGTTTTCAAGATTCCTCTCTCCCCCCGCCCGTCTATACTTTGCTATTGACCCGTCCTCACTCTTTCTCCTCCTCCTCCTCCTCCTCCTCCTCCTCATCCTCCTCCCCTATTCTCGCTTTCTGGTGTACCCATCATGTCCTGACTAATGCAATTAGCATCACATGCACTCAACTCTCGTCTGCAGCATAAGCGGGGCGATCATGAATGAGCACAACCCGTGAGTCAGAGTCGATCACCGGCTATCCTCCTCCCTTCTCCCTCACTCCCCACCCCTCCTCCCTCCTCCCTCATCGCCCCTCCCTCCTCCCTCCTCCCTCCTCCCTCCTCCCTCCTCCCTCCTCCCTCCTCCCTCCTCCCTCCTCCCTCCTTCGTCCCCATCCAACCCAGCCCAACCAGGTCTCTACACTTCTCAGCTGATGCTAGCTTGCAGTCCTATGGCGCTTCCCAATGGCAACGTGTACAGCACCCAGGCGCTTATGGACATGGCGGCATCCAACATGGTACCTCCTCCTTGGCTGCTTCTTCCCCTGCATTAACTCTGGTTTGACTGCTTTCTTTGGAAGGGTCAAGTCACATGCCCCAAGTCTGGCGATACTTATGACTTCTCTGATCTCCGCAAGGTATACATCTCGTGACACCACTGTAAAAATCGCCGCCCTGAAGATAGGCTCAACTTGCCCCACACTGTAAAGCTCTCCGAAAGAAGCCGACTCGATCTCGCGGTCGGCGGGGCGGCGGGGCTGCCGCGTAGCCGCTGTTCACATGCTGTCGTTGCTGCACAACAGTATAGAGCCGGGGGACTCGGCAGACACGCCGGACCCGGCGGAGCCTGCCCTGACTCAGTGTCGGAGTCACAGCCCGGCACGGGCCGGCCGCGGACCGTCGGACTCGGGCGGCCCGGGGCCGCCGCGGGCCCGGCGCCGACACTGTCACACTGGCCGCCGGCGCAAGCGTGCCGGCCGGCCGCCGCCTGCAGCCGGGTCCGACCCTCGGTGTCAGCCTTCGAGAGTGCCTGGGGCACGGTCCGACGGTCGACGGTCATGACAACCCTCGGACGCCGGCGGCGTCCGACTCACAGTACGGTACTGCTACGGTAGACTGCGGGAGGCTGCTTGACCCTGACACTGCGGCGATCACAGAGCCTCGGAGTAAAAGGGGCTTAGTACCAAAAACTTACTGTAGTACCGTACGCGCCGCGGCGGACGGCCGTACCGTGCAGCGGGCCGCGCCCGGCCCGGCCGGCCGCTCACGGCTGCGGTCCGGTCCGAGCCGCCGTCTCGGGGCCAGCCTGGTGACTGAGCCTGGCCCAGTAGAGTCACAGTTGAGTAATTTTAATCGTCACATTGTGTGCTGTACCGTTGTAAAAGGACGGCGTTTTTTTTGTCAGGGTGTACCCCTGCACACAATAAAATAACCCCACCCTGAGATTAAACGCTTCCAGGACCCCCTACCCATCTAAGTTATGCATGTTACTAGGTAAAATACCCACCCTTTCACTCATTAGTTCATACTACCCCTTCCAGGAACCATAGATCCAAGCACCCTACCATCTCTGATTTTTTGGTATCTCGGTCTATTTTTCACAGCCAGCGGTACCATGACCCACCCCCATATCCCTACCCTACCCTTCTCAGTACCCTACCCCCGGATCCCCGGCCGATCCATTTTGTTGACCCAAGGGACGGGGTACCACCGGTGCTTGATCACCCCTATCCACCATTGGAGCCGGTTATACCACTGTGAAATTGACCACTACCCATCAAGTGACTTCAAAGTACCCCTACTAATCATCGAGAGGCGAGTACCCTGTGGATCATGAGGTTCCTTGTCAAGTACCTCTACCCTCCCAACATGACTACAGGAGGAAAAACCACCGGTATCTTTGCGTCTTTCCATCTCCGAAGGGGTGGTGTAACATGACATACAGGTCCATTACGCAGAGGGGTAGGGGTAGGTACAATACTTCAAAGGACCATTGTTTTTGAAGTAAAATGCACGGGTACTTGTGCACAAAGATCTTTAGGACACCCATACCAACTAGACCACCCCCCTTCTACCACTGTCCCCACCCGTCCAATTTGAATCATTTTGGAGTAGAGAACCGACAAGTGAACAAATTTTAGCTGTTTCAAATTCTGGTATTGAAACATTCTTTTTTGAGGTGTTTTTGAATGAGGGGTACTTTGAAGTGGTATAATAACGTAATTGGAAGGGTAGGGTGAGGAAAATTTAGTTTTTGTTTCGATGAAGGTGTCACTCTTCAACCCACAACTCTCATGCAGAGTCCCATGCCACTCTTCGTCTGCTTCCGCCGCTTTCCCCTCCTCCTCCCTCCTCCTATCCCCGTTCCCGCTCCCTCCTTCCTTCTGCTTCTCCATCCCTCCATCCCTCCTTCCATTGAACCTCCATCCTCTCCCCCATCTTTTCGAGCAGCTCAAGGAGTCCAGAGGCCAGAAACCAACCAAAGTTCTTGACCTTCTTGTCTGAGAGCTCATGCACCAGCTTCTTTCACTCAACGTGCTCTGTAGTCTCCCCTTGTTCATCATCTACCTCGAATGCTCTTGGTGCTCTATATATGACGATTCTCTTTTTCAACACCTGATGTCGAGTCTTTCGCTGCCGAAACATTGGCCAGCTAACTCCTGAAACAACGCTGCCTCTATTCATGTAGAATTCCATGCCAATGATCGCTTTCTAACAGCATTGAGACCTCACCGATGAGCAAGCAATGACTGTGCTGTCAGGTTTCCATCAAAAACCCAAATCTTCTTCTCAATGTCTACTATAGTACAAGCACCTTATACTATTGGGGCAGGGTAAGTCCATCCTGCATGTTACTCCTCTAGCTCCTTTAAAGGGTCGAGCCTTCCAATCTCATCCGGATCTTCTGACCCCTCCCTCCCTCCCTCCCTCCCTCCTCCCTCCACACATTGCCCCTCTGCAACTTCACTAGCCTGTCCTGTCTAACCATTGTGTAGCAGCATTTTTGGAAGGCCGACCCCCGCGCAGCTACTCAACTACGACAACGATGCAGATGAGGTGAGCAGGAGAAGATGGTGGCTGAAGTCTGAGAATGCGTGCAGGAGTCAGACAGCAACTTCATGAACCTGGAAGACCTGGCGCGGTAAGATCAGTCACGACACCTTGCGATGTTTGCTCACGCATGCTCTTGATTCCTGAGACTGTGATGTATCCCCGGTGCTCACTCGTGCACGCAGGTATGAGGGAGAACACGCCACCCTGCGCAACCTTGGCACTGTGAGTGGAGGACGGGAAAAGGAAGGACATGAAGGGGGAGGAAGGGCAAGAAGGGAAAGGGAGGGAGCGAATTGACAGTTGGTGGGGGGCAGGTGACTTTCTTCGATCGGAGAACGCGTACCCGTATGCCTCCCGTGGATCTTCTTGCTCTTTCTGTCGATGTCTCAAGACCGATCGTGCGGGTGCGAGGAGCCTCTGGGCTGCTCGGAGAACCGTTGACGGAGTGCTGTTCAGGTCACCGACGAGAATATGCATATGTACTACAGCTCATGGCTGGACATGACAAGGTGAGACGTCAGTGTGAAGTCCTGTATCCTCATGCTCCTCCCAAGGAGCAACCTCAAGAATTGCGGGATGTACGATGACTCGCTGGACGACAAAAACAGCATGTGACAACCGAGCTCCGATGTCCTCTAGCGCTGACAAGAGATTGCAGGATGATCCCAGACGGGCTATACGACGACGACATGGAGGTGTCTGCTGTCTTTCTCGTCCCCCTTGTTGCTCATGCGGCTGGTGCAGGATGAAAGTGATGAGTCGGAGCTGGACGAGTCACCAAAGGGAGGGAGCATGCTCGACATCTGAGGCGAGTACGTCCTCATGGTGGCGAGGAGGAGATGGTTGTAGAGATTTAATTACAGAGGAAAGGTGAGAATCAAATAAATGACACTATCAGGACAAGCGTGCGGGTCACAGGAGCACGGGCAGCAGCAGCAGCAGCAGCAGCAGGAGGACAGTTCTGTTCTCACTGTGGCAGCAAGAAGAGCCCTCGTTCCAGCGCAGGCCTGCACTACCGTCAGAGTCGCGCGAAGGTGCGAGGACATGCGACCTGCTGGGCGTCGGTCGCGGGTCGCCCAAGGAGGCGACGGCGCTGCCAGGAGGTCACGAGATGGACTAGCAAGATGCATCACCTCATGCCGAAGCCTCCGCCCACCTTGCTGCGGAGAGATCGCTCCTTCTCCTCGAGCCTCCTGCCTTCACGTCACGAGAAGAAGCGATGCCTGTCTAGTCCTTACTTGGGCGGTCGGATATGGCGGAGAACCTGCAGCAAACACGGTTGTGAGGGTAGAAGGAGGGGAACGAGGAGAAGCAGGAGCAGGGAGAGAAGCAGGAGTAGGAAGAGAAGCAGGAGCAGGGAGAGAAGCAGGAGTAGGAAGAGAAGCAGGAGCAGGAGAGGCAGACCGGGTTGACGATGGTCTTCACGGAATTTGCATCCAACTGTACAAAAGGCTCATCTGTTGTTCTCGGTCGAGCCACGTGGTAGCCTGTGAGAAGCGTAAGAGGGAAGCAACAGGTGCCATAGCTCTCACCTCCACCCCAGAAGCTCTGCTTGTCTACCCGGATCCATTCCCCTGACAGGGGATCCTTCCTCCAGGGGATGCTTGTTGGCGCCCATGAGAGGCCCGACTCATAGTTCACCCTGCTTACTTGTAACTTCTCTTTTATCTCCTCCCCCTGCTCTCTCTTTCTCCTTCTCCTTCTCCTTCTCCTCTCACTTCCTCTCTCTTTCTCCTTCTCCTCTCTCCTCCTCCCACTCTCCTCCTCCTCTCTCTTCCTCCTGGTCAAACCTCGAAGCTGCCGCTGAGGCAGGGTAGATGGCGATCCGGCCATGGCTAACGTCGATGCTGCGCTCAAGGTGCTTGCTCTCATTGTCCAGTTGCTGGCGAGACTGAGGAGACGAAGAGAAGAGGAGCTGGCTTGTACCTTGGAGATGCGAAAGCGCAGGCTCTGCTGCTCTTGCGTGTCTTGCTGAGAGGACCGGATGATTTCGGACTCGAGCTTGTTGGAGAGCTCAGAGCAACTCTGGGAGCAGGTGAGCAGGGAGCTGCGGGATCGGGTGCTCCTCTTGCCTCTCTTGCTCTCTCCACTCGCTGCAGGAACCTTGCTTGCTTCGTCGCTGCCGTCCATGGCAACCCCGGCTGAGTCAGGCCGTCAGAGGCGACCAACACTTACATGTCAGCAGACTTTAGCGTAATATGACAGGATCCTTTCTGCTCCTTTCATCTCTCGTGTCTGCGGGTAGTGAGAGACAGGCGGGAGGAGGGGGCTGCAGGACCTTAAGAGCTGCTTCCTGCCGCCCCGTTGGCGTCTGGTCCATGTAGTGAGGGAGAAGCTCCTTGACCTGGTCCAAGGGCAACGGTCAGCCTTGCACGGTCACAACGTGATGCAGACACAAGACACCACGGAGGGGAGAGGGCGGTGCTGCAGGTGGTTGGCGCCATCATGATGCTCATGTTGCGGAGCACTTGCAGCGAGTCAGTGGAACGCGATCATGGCGAGGACCACCTCAGGTGTGAGTTGGGCTGCTGCGATTGCTCCTCGTGAAACTTTGTTGAGGTGATGAAGAACTCGTCGTCCATGTGACTTGGATCTTTGCAGAACACACATAGGGTGACAATGAGAATGGAGGACGTTCAGGCGCAAACCTTGATCTTCTACCTCCAACTTCTCGTCGTAGAAGGAGACAGCGACAGTTCTTGACGTGTGCGGCTGTGGCACGCGACTCACTTTCAACCATCAGCTCACCGCCTCAAGACTTACCCGTTGCGACATGGCAAGAGGAGACGAGGAGCGGAAGTCCGGGTGACTTCGAGCCGAATCGATCTGCGGCCATGTCAGACGGCAGAAAGAGAGCAAGAGAAGTCGTCACAGACACTCTTACATTCCTCAAATGCAACGACTCCATCGACAAGCTTTGCTCATGGCCTGGCGTTGGCCGTCAGTTGCTTCCAAGATACAAGCATCGTCAACACCATAGTAACTCATCGCTGACTCTGACCGCTGAACGTCCTGTAGAAGGATGTTCAATCCTTGCAGTGATTCTCGTGTTTGCAAGTACCTCCCGCCTGCTGCTTCGAGAGGAACGGCGGCTCTCTTCTGCCATCACATCCTGCAGGATCTTTCTCGCAAACTCCTCCCGCTGTCCCTTCTCTCCTACACCCAGAGCCTGTCGGAGCTCTGGGGGAGTCGTCGGTCTGCTCCAAGTCGTTCAGACACACACCACCTCAACTCTCACGGCAAGACGATCAAAGACAGCAACGAGCACGGTGAGGAGACATTCTGCTGATGGCAACAGCAGCAATGAGATAATAACAGTGACATGCTGGAGCAAGAGTCCGGGCTCTTCCCCCTGTCCCCAACTCTCGCTGGGACCTCTAGGAGGGTACCATCAAGAGATTCGCATGTTTCACTCACCGCACAGGAGCTCTAACATGCTCTTCTCGCTTCCTCCGCACTCTTGTCATATCGCAGGTCTATCACGAACGGATCGGATGATCGAGTCTCTTCTCCCAAGTTCAGTCGTTAGCTTCCGGGCAGGTTCATCATGACTGTTTGCTTCATCGTCATCGTCATCGTCATCGTCATCGTCATCCTCATCGTCATCGTCATCCTCATCCTCATCCTCATCCTCATCCCCGTCATGCTGCCGTAGGTCCTCAGCCTGGCCGATGAGGAGGCTCCGATGGCTCAGGCTGTCGGCGGCCGTTGGTCACGGCGGAGCTACCGATATCAATCAAGATTAGTTCGTTACTTGCCTGATCGGCCCGGCCCCGGGCAGCCCGGCGGTAGTCCAGAACCTGGAACTTTACTCAAAGTTAAGTAACAGTACTTTCTCGGACTTCACTCAGCGGCCCGGCGCGGCCCACTGCCCGGCCCGGCCGGTGGCACCGCCGGGCCGGGCCGGGCGGCTCAGCGGCTCAGAGCCTCGCCGGTCGGAAATCATGGGTAAACTTTGACAGTAGATGTCAGGGTCAATGAATATTGAAATTTTGAATCATGACCGGAACCGAGACCAATCAGTGGGGGGACGCAGTAGGCGTGTTCGGTACGCCAATTACATTTGTCCTTCAAGGTGTTCAACTTCAGCTGCCCTGCAAACACAGGATGCCCGTTGAGCGCCTCCTGAGCCTCCTTCAGCGTCTTCTCCTTCTTCCCCCATTCAAATATGGCACCATCGTTGTATTGCATGACACATTTGATGATCTCTACCATGCGCTGTTCCCCATCCCCCTTGAATTGCATGGCCGCATGGGACAGTTCAGATGGCTCTCCCACGCCTACTGCATTAGGTTCTTCATCGCCTGCTCCAACACGTAGTGGAGCGCCGTGGGGATCTTCAGCCTGCATAGGTTGCTGCATGGTTGATGCGCGCGCGATTGGTGAATACAAGAAATTCAAATTAAATTCGCGTTGTAAGCTCGCGGTACATCAAATTGGCCTCTGGTACAAATTATTCATCGTACATTAAATTGCCTCTGGTACAACAATTTCATGGTACATTAATTCGAAAAGCTCTCGTTTCAATAGTCGGTGGAAATGCAATTGTGGGTGTATTCCACCAACTTTTGAATTTGCAATTCTGGGTCCGAGGTCCCATATTTGATTTACTCAATTTTTTGATGTACCAGCATTCCACCTGTAATTGGCGTACCGAACACGCCTAGTGCCAGTAGTTTATGTTGGGCGCTAGGGCGCGAGGAAAAACCCAAAAAAAAACATGTATTGATTTATTCAAAAATGTTATAGACAACGGTTATTTATTTGGTGGCCTTAAATTTGAACTCAAAAATCAAGCAAAAAAAAGGGCGCAGGTGAGGGGAGATTTAAAATGTGACAAATGACCCGGTCCTTCAAAACCCAATTCTTTCGCACAGCTATCTGCACGATTTAGCCAATCAATGGAGCGAAATTTTTACAACTTCTACATTCAAATTTTAAATTGCAAGACTTTGGTACAACGTTAAGTACTACGAGTAGTGACACATAACAATTTTAATTTAAGAAGTAATGTAGAGCACGAAAGCCTGGAGATGGGTGGGGGGTGGTATACGTTACATCGCAAGATGGGTAGGGTACCACAGCACCCGTTTACTGACACTCAATCCCATAGGGTACTAAGGGGTACAGCCGGGAGATATTGCTGGTCGGCAAGCCATGGGGTCGCACACTACCGGGTGTGGATGCACCCCACTTGCCATTGTAGAAGCCGAAGCGATCAAACAAGGGGAAGACTGGGCATCTTTCCTCGTTGCTATCACAATCATCAGAGTGAACCCTGCCAGGGACACAGAATCTCACAGATTCCACCACAATTGCAAGTATACATATCGAGTCACGGAGAACGTTTGCATCGTGGCAAACAATGTCGGCACCGGCTGGGCAGACATGCTTGTATGAAGCCTCATGTGTTATGCGAGGGCAACCTGAGGCTCAGTTGAAAGTCTGCCAGTATTGCAACAAACCCTTTCATCATCTTTGTGCTAGTACTCTGAAAGGCACAGATGATATGAACTATTGTGGGCAATGCAACCAAGGAGCCCATAACAACACCGTGACTCAAAGAACACCTTCGAATAAACGGCGGGTCAGTGCTCGCACTGACGAAGAATTATTGCGTGTCTTCCAGGATCGCAGAGTCATTGGTTCAGGGGGACTTGATTTGAACATCCAGGCATTTCGAGAATTGCAGTCAAAAGTGGTCAGTCTTAGTACGCAGAGGAACTACGCATACCGCATTCATGCTATCATAGCTTTTTTCAGGTCTCACCCACGATATCATGCAGCTCTGAATGAAACCTTGGACGACCTTATTTTGCCATTGCCATACGATGCATTAGTAGCATTCTTCGGTTATTTGTCGCAAAAGGAGCGGGTCAGGGACAAGATCAAGCAATCAAAAGCGAAGCGCATGAAGAAGGGCACTCACCCAAATATGCAGATCAATGGCGATGACATGGAAGTCGATGATGAAGCCGAAGAGGAAGCAGGTCCATCACAGGCGCATGCTTCGTATGAAGATGAACATGATGATGAGATGGATGATGACGTTGAAGGTGAACAAGCAGGCGCCACCAGCAATGATGTTGAATTGGTAGTGGGAGTGACTGGCGTTGAAGACGTGAATTTTGTAACCAATGCAGCGGACAAACCGACAGTAGCAGTGTCTACGATACGAGGGTACAAAAGCGCGTTGAAGTACCTGTACCAATGTAGACACATGGAATTTGTAGCTAGGGACATGCCAGAAGGAGAAGCAGCAATGTGTATAGACGAGGTGTTGGACCGTTGCATGAAGTCTTACACGAAAGTAGTTACAGAGAAGAAATCTCGAGGAGTCATGCGCATTCATGAAGGCAGAACGGGGATAAGCATGGATGAGTATATCTGCCTGTGCAGAATGTTTAGGAACGTGAAACCTCGTCGAGGCAGTACAGCACCCGGAGACACGTGGATATTTGGATGGACATGCACATGTCTCATGTGGAATCTCATCTGCAGGAGTGAGAGCCTTGACATCTTGCATCTGCAGCATTTTGATTGGGAGAATGATTACATGAAAGTAGTGCTTTTGCGCACGAAAACTGACCAAGCCGGGATTGGGACTGACTTGAAAAGCACCAGGATCAAGCATCTTTTTGCCGCACCCCACAATCCAGAGATATGTCCAGTCCTCACTCTTGCTTTGTACACCTTTGCCACTCGAGGCGTCTTCCTTGCCAGGGAGGGAAACAAGCTGCTGATGGGGCGGGATCAGAAACAGAGGTACGCTCAACTCATGCAACGCATGGCATCGCAAGCTGCAAACGACCAGCATGGCAACCTGGACAATGCTGGTACACATTCATTGCGGAAGGGAGGAATCACCCATTTGCTGGGTATGATGGATGGTCCCGGTGCGACTTGCAGTGCTGTTTGTCAGCCGGTTGTTAGTGACAGGACTGTTGCCAGGAGCTCCAACAGTGTATATCCGAGCCAACTGGAAGATAGGTATGTGTGCTATGAAATCGCGGAACAGGGATAACAAGTAAAAATGTGGCAGGAGAGACGCAGGATCGCTATATCCTTGGTGGAACGGGTGGAGACCAGTTCGCAGGCAGGATTCTTGCTGGCAACGACAGCGGAACGGCAGACTTTGCTGTACTTCCACCCCACTTCACAACGGAAGGATTGAAGCAAATAGAAGAGATCGGATGGGAGAGGTTCATATCAGGTTACGGCAGTTTCCCGGCAGGATTTCAAAAGTGTATCCGCTTCTTCCTTGCAAGTATCTTATGGCACCTTCCAACTCTACAGGAATGGTTTCCGCACAGCAACGATGACATATGGGGCATGCCGATGTTCGGAATGTTTGGACAAGGCAGTATGGCAAGGCTGATGTCCTTGCGAGAGCATATCATCGTGTCTTCGCACAGGTGTACCGATTGCGGCATGTCAGCTAGTGGTACTCCAACCAAGACAGAAATATTGAAAGGCATGAAAGAGATGAGGGTTGAAGTGCGAGATGCCATCAAGGAGGAGATGAAGGTAATCGAGGAGAAGATGGATGAGAAGATGAAGGTAATGGAGGGGAAGATGGATGAGAAGATGAAGGTAATGGAGGGGAAGATGGATGAGAAGATGAAGGTAATCGAGGAGAAGATGAAAGAACTGGACCACAAGTTTGACGATTTCAAAACTGTGATCAGGGACGAACTGCGAACGAATTTAGGTTTTGTTGCTGGATGGATGAGGGATGTACGAGGTCCCAGTGGAGGGCAGGTTACATCTGGAAGCATGGACTTCACAGATGCTTTCCGCATCGTCATGCAACAGGTTGCCAATATAGGACAACAGGTGCAGCAGATGGGCAATATAGGGGAGCAGGTGCAGGCCGCCGTGGGTGAAGCTATGCGACAGATGGTACTGGGTGGAGCAGGCCATGTCATGATGGCACATGGGGTGAGCAACGTGATGGCAGATGCTGACTCGAATGGAAGATTGAATGAGAGTGAATCGGAGGAAGGTGCAGAAGTGAGCAGGGAGGGGACACCGGAGAGGAATGCGGTGCTGGTTTCATCACCAGGACTGGGGGATGATGGCAACGGTGAGATACAAGTTGGAGGGGATGACTTCGAATGGGAAGGATGGGGGCCTGGCAGACACATGGTCCCGTTGGCTTGGCGATTTCCTTTGCGGTGCAGAGTTCGAAATATGTTCATGTGGTGGAATTTGGGGCAAGATGTCATCGTGGAAGGACAAGTGAGGAGGATTCGGCCCTTAAAGCACCTCAGTCAGGTTCCTTTCTCCGCAGACGTGAAGGATGAGAACACGAGGAAGAATGTATACAAAGCATATCTTGTGATGACCATGGTGGAAAATATATGCCGAGAGCAAGGAGTACTGCAAGGAAATGAGGGGATTATGCCTCACAACTTCTGTCAGTGTTACAGAACAGGTTTCCGTACGCTAGTGGAAAGGGCGTACGGAGATGATGCATGGACGGCGATGGCACAGAGAAAGAGGTACTCGCAATACTCATACATCACATACTACAAGCACTTGGTGGAATATCGCCAGCAGGTTCGTATTGAGATGTCACTGGCAGTTGAAGACCATCAGGTAGAGGCGAATAGAAATAGTGAGAGTGGACAAAGGACGTATGCAGACATTCTCCAGAGCACGTAGTGTAGAGAATTTACAGTTCGTTCCTGAATGAAATCATTGTTGAGTTGATACATCTGTGTTAAGCCCTCATGTGGAAATGGAATGTTGGAAAGAATGAGTCTCGCTACGATGCCAAAGCGATGGTAGGTTGTGATATACTCAAGGGTACTTTTTGGGATGATGATGACAATGAGAGCAACAGACAATGCAGTTGATCAGGTATCATACTGCACTGCAAATCAAGGGGATGGTGGATAATGTGACAGGGAAGGGATGCCGGAGTATGCTTTGTTGGAGTTGAGGTTGTGAGATGCCGTGGCATCAGCTGCCATCTGGCATGTTGGTGATGGATGGTGATGGAGGAGACATTCGCATGAATCACTGTCTTGATGACAAGCTAAACATGATCTGTGGAGTGCATATTGTCATGTACGGCATTATGGATTTTCATGCACTGATGCCAAGCTGGATTCAGGGTCAGTTATGTTCCAAAAGGAACGTTGCGTGTCAACCATATTCCACAGTAATGCATATCGTCAGGTGTTACAGGTTCATGATCATGGGGGCAAATGAGGTACAGATTCATGATCATGGGGGCGAATGAGGGGTGAAATGGAGTTTGAAGCTCAGGGGTTTATCATGATTGGAGAGATGTTACTTCTTTGGCATTGACCACATCTAGATGCTGCATATTGATGAGTGATGACAACGTGATGACAACGTTCCCACCACCATCAGTGAATTGTCTGCACACTGGAGTGCAAGGCTGTGACGGTTCAGTGCAAGTCCGAGACGGGACAGTCAAACCATGAGCAAAGCCAGCATGTGCGACTTGAGCACTATCGGACTTCAAAGGCAAGTCAACCTTGAATTTGAGCTGTCGTCTTGATACTTGGAGGGAAGATCGGGAGCCTGGATTCAGGGGTCATGTGATGGGTGAGGAGGTGTTCCGACGCCCACAAGTACCTGACCAAGGCGAATGCGCAACCGCAACGATCCGCCATGAAAGCAACGCCGAAATGGCTAAGTGTGAAAGACCTGGTACAAATTTGTACCAGGCATGTGTACCATGATTGTCGTGGAACTTGAGTGGAATCTCTGGATATCCGGTACAGTCCTTTTGTACCAGTAAATACGTCCTACAACAGTAATAAAATGCGCCTCTTTTTTTTTCGTGAAGTATAACCCTTTTTAAGTTAGCGCCCTTATGAGCTCAATGCTTTTATAGGCTATGAGGTCGGGTGGGGAGGGGGTGGGGTCATTGTGGTGATCAATAGATGCTGGCGGAGGCTAACGATCATCACACGCCCGACCATGATAGTAGGGGTCCGGCAAAAAGAATAAAAACAGAGGGGGTGGGTCCTGGTCGATAGACGTAGCCTGAAATAGGGGGGAGTACCCGGACTGCAGACTAGTGAAAAGAGGGTGGGGGTGTGATCAATCTGGTTGGTGGGGTACTGCTAAGGGCTTTCAATGGGGTGGGTGGTAGATAGTGCGAGCAAAATCTCAACACATGGGTTATGCTCCAGGTTCGAATCTCTTTCGGTGTTAATTCAGGACCGGTACTTCTGTGGGTATTACAGGGGGTAGGGTGTGCTCTACAATTATAAAAAGGGAAAAAAAGAGAAAGGGAAATCCCCTGCCCACCCACCCCTGGTGGTAGAAAGGAAGCTCTGAGCGTTAGGAGGGAAGGATGACTCAAATCTATCGGAGCTCAATTGAGAGAATGCAGAGCATTGGGCTTGATTGGAGGGGAAAGATTGGACAGGAGGAAAGTTTGGGGTAGGGGTTTAGGAGGGATGCGATTGACAGTGGGATTTCCCCGCAAGGGAAGGCCGAGCGCAGGAGCCCTTGGCGGGGGCAGGATGGAGGAGATAAGGGGGAGAGGGAGGGCGATAAGGGGGGAGGACTACACGATTCAACGAGACACACTAGAGGGTAGCAAGGTGTTAAGGACAAATCAGAAAGAGATAGTAGATCAGGTTGTTAGTCGAGAAGATGAATGGATGATGAGTGCGCGAAAGAGCTCGACAATGTAGTGCTTCGCAAGATTCATCAAATCGAACAAAAGTTGTTTTTGAGGAATGATTGCGCTATACACGAATGTAGCATGCCGTCTGATGCATAGGACCACAATGTTTGCACTAAAATTCTTTGTTTGATGATGCGAGAATCCAGCAATGCTGATGACCTGCTTTCTAGGTTGAAGTGTGGTTGCGCAGAAAGCTTCACAGTCGATCCAAAGGCATCGAGATTGCAACAACGTAGAGTTTTGCCGATCGGACGTAAGAGGATTTGATGCAGAGATTTGCCTCTCGAACAGTGTCAACAGATTGTTGAGCCTGAATAGGAACTGAGAGAACATCGTACAGTACAAGACATGATCAAGATTTGGATGTCAGATATCCAAAGATCACCCTCGACTCAGGAGGTCAAACTCAGCTCAGACTCTCTTGAAATCGAGAGAGAAACGGTGCAAGAATCCGAGGAGCATGCTTCACACTTGGAAGATGAGAAGACGGCAACCAAGGAGCATGGGAACGAAAGCTTTCATGCTTCACATGACAAGGCTACAATGGACGCGAGAGCCTCGGAGATTGAAGAGTTCTCCCGCTTTAGGACTATGCTCCAGAGCTCCTTTCTGAGCTACAGATCTCCAAACACAACTCCAAAGCAATACATCAACCATGTTCAGCTTTTGGAGTCCTTCAAAGATCTCTCAGAGGCGATTGGTGACCCCAAGACCTTCAGCATCCCCAACAAGAATTGTGCGTGCAACCAGTCGTTCCCTTCAGCGATGAAGAGTGACGTTGCCTCCAAGAACTCTTCTCACAGTCATTCTTCGTCTCTACGATGCGAGTGCGAAGGTGTGCACGGTATACTAGAGATGCACGAGAATGGGCCTTCCCAGAAGGGGGTCAAGGTGCGATGCATGATCCGAAGACATCAAGGAAAGATGACTCTCGGTATCTTCCATGGCAACTACCTTGCATCGGAGATGGGGTACATTTTGCTGGAGGAGGCATATGTCACAAGCCACCTTGAGAAACCCCACATGTTTGCTATCGGACTGTGTTCAGCAGGAGAGTACTTGACGGATTCCGAGATCTACTTCTTCTGCAAGACGAGCAGGTCTCGGGACAAGTGGGTCGAAGCTCTGATCAAGGCTGGATGCAGAGGCAAAAGCTTCTTCCCCAAGATATCCAAGACTCAATCCCTTAAGTGAGCCCCCCGCTGAGCCGCATCACACGAGTCACGGACTGAGTCGGCGGGACCGTCGCTGTGACTCCGAGAGCCCGCCGCCCCAATGGCCCGGCGGCGTACTCCGACGTGACTGCCCCCGCAGCCGCCGAGCCTAAACTGAGCCTACCGTACTAGCCTTGAAGTTGCGGTTCACTGAGTCAGTATACCGGTCCGATCTTCGAGTCTTTACCCGGCCACAGTCGTGCGTTCCAAAGTTCAGTTCCGAAGCCTGAAGTTCACCGACCGTAGCCTACCGTACTGCCCTGGCAGGCTGCCACGGTCCGACCCGGCCGGCGGGTAGTACTACGGTACCGTAGTACTGCGGCTCCGATCGCCGGGACACCCGGGAGTGAGTCTCGGAACCGTTAACTTGACGAACGGCGGTGACTCCGCCGAGGCTCCGAGCCTGCCCCGGCCCCGGCGGCCTGCGTGCCGCAGACCCGTGCTCCGACAATCGGACTGGCCGCGACGGTGACGGGCTGCGCCGGCGGCAGCCTGGCAACTTGCGTCGGGCCGGGCCCTCAGTCATCGGAGCCCGGCCGGCCCGGGGGCGGCACGGCGCCGTGCGCCGGCCCCGCCGGCCGCGCCGCGCCGAACTTGCGGCCTCCGGGCCACGGCGACGGACCGTGTCCGGCGCCTTCGGACCGGGACTGCTCCGCTCGGAGTCCGACGGCCAGTCGGACGGTCACGGCGGGTGCGGCCGCGGGACCCCCGGTGAGTCCGACGGTCACGATGCCAGTGGCGGGCCCGGGCCCCGGGCCGCGGCGGCGGGCCGGGGCGGCGCCGGGCTGTACGGCCGGGCCCCGCGGGCCGCCCGGCCGGGTCACCCGGTCCTGGGCCCGGGGAGCCTCAGTAATCCGGCCGCCCGGCCCGCCGGGTGACGGCCGCGCCGTTCCGAAGTTCATCCATGCCACTGGCCCACTGCCAGGCTGAAGGCCCGGGGGGGTCGATCCAGGCTCCGAGGCTCCGACTCACTCCGAGGCGCCCTCAGGCTGGCGGCCGCACTTGACCGTGACTCTGTGATAGTCACCGTGGCACCGTGTCACTTGCCATGATTCAGTGTCCGGTCCTCGTACTGATTTTTAACTTAACTTTGAGTAATCTGTTACAACTTTCAGATGTTGTGCCGTTTGCCTAAAGTTGACCAATGATCACTCGGATGAGAACTCGGGGCCCCTGTCACTACTACCCCACCCCCCCTCACTGAGTCAGCCCATCATGACCGCCGGCCATGACCCCGGTCAGAGTTTCAAGTTTGCAATAGTTCACTTCCGAGTCACCTACTACCCACAGTATCTGACTACCCTCCGAGTCTCATGATTCTGACAACCGGGTACTACCGTTGGCGGAAGCCTACCACCCCCGGGCCCACAACTTGCTGAGCTGGGCCGGTACCCGGTCCGATGATCGATTATTGCGACTGAGGGTGGGGAGGGTGGGTCATACCCTGGCAGGCCCGAAAAAGCCTGGTGGCGCCGCGTACAGTCGGTGCCGCCCCTCCTCAGTACCACCCCACTCAGTTGCACCCCACCCCCTTCCTCTGCAGTGACAACCCCATATGGACCTACTCCGACTCCTGTCCGACAGGGGTACTCGGCAAGTGACCCCGCCCCCCCCACCCCCCAGGGAAGTTGGCCCGGCCAGGCTGGCCCCAGACGGTGGTCTTCCTGATTTCCGAGATCGGCCCGGAGTTCGGCAAACACGGTCAGGAAGAGCCCTACCCCCTGACCCACCAATGGCGGCTTCCTCCATAAGTACCCACCCCTTAGACCTATGACTGCTCGGTTTGAAAAAGGCACCCAGCCTCCCCCACCCCCCTTGGCATCACATTGAGCCGTCCAGGCCTCCATGCGGCTGAGCCCAGCCCTGAACCCTCCGACTCCCCTCTGGCTATCTGATGTACCCCCCACACCCTACCCCTCCCAATAGTACCCCCTGTTGCAATGACCCTACTTTTTGAATTGAGAGGGATTTGGGGGGAGGGGTCCTGAGAGAGGGGGTGGTGTGTCCGCTCTTGCGCCAAATGAAGTGATGGAGAGGGGCAGGAAGGAGGGAAGCTGGTGCGAGGCAGTGTAAGACTTTGCTGGTAGTTACACGACAAGTGCGATGGTGATGAATGTGAACTCCGAACAGAAGAAATTACAGGGAGAATGAGTAGAATTACAGCTAAAATACGCTGAGTAGTTTGAAGGGCAGAAGGCGCATGTCAGGGATGGAGCTGACCAAGGTAGAAGATGGGATGAAGAGGAGCGGGGAGTAGATTGTACCATATGAAATCTGGAATTCAACAAAAAAAGGAGCTGATCTTTACGGAATTGCGATTATTATGCTTCCAAAGAGCAAAAGCGACAATACGAGAATTTGAAGAACTTCGAGACGAATTGCACCAAAGCCTGATCATCCTCTGACAAAACGTTACAGGTGTATATGTACATACCTGTCAAGGGGCTATTGAACGACGGAATCTCTTGATAGAGCAGTTTATTTCCGGATCTTCAAAGCATGCTTTGCTAGTGTCCACCGGGTGAGTGCGTATTGAAGCTGTTGGACGTTCAGCGTTGTCTGTCGTACATCAGCTGCGGCTGGCATACAGCGGGAAACCTGGACTCTGAGCCGACTGCTCGACGACGATGCTGAAGATTCCACATGGGGTACGTGTATAGCTGTCCTACCATCGACCGTGACAGGCTAACTTGCGCAGTGGCAGGCAAAGGCAGACCATGCGAGTTCGAAGGAGATCCCACGTGTTCAAGAGCAGAAATCAAAGCCCTCCTTGCAAGCAGATCAGTGTCATGACAAACGCAGCGGAGCACGTCTCTTGTTCCGTGACAAACGAGGCAAATCTATCTCCAACGATCATTGCACCTGCAACGAAGAGAAAGTTCAAAACAAGGGCTTGTGGGCATTTGCACATTCGCCAGCATCGGTGGAAGAGAATGGGAGAGAACGGAAGAGCAAGACAGATCATGTCTATAAGAAGAAGGGTCGGTACTGGAACTTTAGGAACGAAAGGCGATTCAAGCCCATGTTCTTGCATAACAAGGGGTTCTCCTTGTTCGATGTGGTTGGAGGAAGCACAGAATCGAAGCTCATCAATCAAGTGTTTTCCCTCACAACAGAGTTGAATTATGTCAGGGCACAGTTAAATAGTTTGCAGCCATGTCTTGCCCTGGATGCAGAGGAGGGCAAAAAGCCTCAAGAGGCCTTTTGTTGTGCTCATGAGAATCCTATTGACTCGATTCTTCGACAAGAGTTCATCGAGAATCCAAGTTTCGTGATGCACCAGACCAAATTGCAAATGCTGCAAAGTAAGCTGGAGGAAAAAATGCTTGAATGCAAAATGCAAAGCAAACAAATAGAAGAACTGAAGATTGAAGCGCAGAAGAACTCAGCATCCCTGCGCGAAGTGTCTGAGCTTGAAAGCAAATTTCAGCAGTGCATGGAGAGTTTGGCGATGGCAGAGAGCCAAGTTTCGCAGGCATCAAAATGCTTCGAAAGAATTGAGTCAACAGAGTTGATTGTAAGTGATTTGGAACACACTACTACAAGACTCGCGCAAAGCTTGGAAAACGCCGACGAGAAATTGGATTCGAAATACCAAGAGGTAGTAATTGGCATAGAAAGGCTTGAATCGACAATGGAATCTTTGCACCGTTGTATGTTGGTGGAGCAGGAGACAACTTGCAGTCAGTTGGAGCAGTTTAGAGCATCGATGATTCAACAGGAAGCGTCGCACGCAAAAGAGGTTGAGGTTCTAAAAAGCGAATCAAAGATGAATCAATCACAATTATCCAACATGCTTTGGGAGCTGGAGACATACGTCAACCAATGCAATACACAAGAAGTCGCGCTCTCTCACATGCAAAGACAATGTGTCAAACTGCAGGCAGAGTTGTCGGAGTCCTTGAAAGACAAGGCCGCCCTCAAAGAGCAGCTGAAACAGATGTCGGAGCAGTTGGCGGAAGCTCAGAACCGTTGCTCTGAGATGGAGCGAGATCGTGAGCAAGAAAGAATGGAAATCATCAACTACAACCAAGAGATTCAGAACCTGGGGGATATGGATGATGATGACTTGTCAGATGTGGGGGAGGACGTCGAGAGGTCCATGGCCTATTTTGACTCCTGTTGTGAAAGCTCGAAACGAATTTCCCACCATGACATCTTGGCGATGTTTGTCAGCCATGGTTCAAACGTGGCCGAGTCGATGAACCATCGGATCGAAGCTTGCATCGTTCAGTCAGACGAGACAATCAAGACTCTTCAATCCGTCGCAGCCGATTCGAAGGCGCACGCATTGCAGGACATGAAGTCGTCGGCTGCAACGGAGAGCAGCGATAGTCCCACGGGTGATTTCGTGGATGTAATTCTAAGGAGAATGCGCAAGAACGGGGAGATAGCTGATGACACTTTGCAAGTCATGGATGAGTTGCAACAGCAATTCTTTGCGAATGAGGAGAAACCCTCAACGAAGAATGGAGAACCAGTTGTACAGGACAGCAGCTTGGAGGAGCTTGTGATGGAGCAGGTAAAAGAATTGAACAGGTTGATGACAATGGCAAAGAAAGCATACGAGACAACTAGTGCCTCTGAGAGCTCCGATGAGACTCTTGACACGGTGAGTACTTTGCTGCAGGTGAAGATGAAAATGACTAGCGGTTTCAGGAGGTCCATGACAAGGATCGAGCAACGTCCCCCGACAGGGCGAAGATCATTTACATGTAGCAATACTCTTCCTCTTGCTCTGAATTGTTGCAAGAATCATGAGAAATGGCGTCGACTCAAACGCAGACTGAAGCTGCGCTGCAATCATTGTCATACGTGACATGTCAGTCTGATCACTCATGATTGTATTTGCAAGTGGCAAAAAGCTTGTCTAGAAGTTAGAAGCTCTAGAAAGACTTGTTTGCAATCTCTTTCATCTCCTTGGGAACATCAGTACAGAAACCTTGACGGAGGCAGCCGACTACTGCATCCACCGCGTTGATGACTGCAGCCTGCAAAGGAAAGGGTATTCCAGAAAGATGGAGGAAGATGAAGCAGTTGAAGGGAAGAATAGGATGGAAGAGATGATCGTCAGATTGTCAGGAAGGAGGAGGCATCATGAGGAGAGGGAAGGAGAAGTAGCGAAGCAAAGATCATAAGAGACAATGAACAGTAAGAGAAAGAAAAGAGAGTCAGGAGAAGTAGCGAAGCAAAGATCATAAGAGACAATGAACAGTAAGAGAAAGAATAGAGAGTCAGGAGAAGTAGCGAAGCAAAGATCATAAGAGACAATGAACAGTAAGAGAAAGAAAAGAGAGTCAGGAGAAGTAGCGAAGCAAAGATCATAAGAGACAATGAACAGTAAGAGAAAGAAAAGAGAGTCAGGAGAAGTAGCGAAGCAAAGATCATAAGAGACAATGAACAGTAAGAGAAAGAAAAGAGAGTCAGGAGAAGTAGCGAAGCAAAGATCATAAGAGACAATGAACAGTAAGAGAAAGAATAGAGAGTCAGGAGAAGTAGCGAAGCAAAGATCATAAGAGACAATGAACAGTAAGAGAAAGAATAGAGAGTCAGGAGAAGTAGCGAAGCAAAGATCATAAGAGACAATGAACAGTAAGAGAAAGAAAAGAGAGTCAGGAGAAGTAGCGAAGCAAAGATCATAAGAGACAATGAACAGTAAGAGAAAGAAAAGAGAGTCAGGAGAAGTAGCGAAGCAAAGATCATAAGAGACAATGAACAGTAAGAGAAAGAAAAGAGAGTCAGGAGAAGTAGCGAAGCAAAGATCATAAGAGACAATGAACAGTAAGAGAAAGAAAAGAGAGTCAGTGAGGAAATCGAGCAGGTCAAAGAGCAGCACTGACATCCTCGCCGTTCTCCTTCACGTAGAAGACTGTCCCGAAAAAGTTCCTCAGGCGCGTCCAGAACACAGGAGGAAGGGCAAGCTCCACCCCCTGCCCGACGTTGAAGTTCAGGATGTTTGCCTGACCAGCCTTGCCGCTTCCTCGATCGACTACCATGACAATCGTCTTATCGTCAACCCCCCAGTAGTCCTTGATAGCAAGCCCTGGCGTTTGCGGGTACCTCTGACACAGGACGCGCATCTTATACCCTGTGTCTTCCTCAAGCTTTGCAAGCAGTTTGTCCATCTTCGCCACTTGGCCTTTGGTGAGGAACTTCTCCAGGTCGATCACGTTCACTTTGGGTCCAGGAGGAAGCAAGTCAGGGCGGTTCACTCCCTCGGGCCCTCGACCCCTCTCCCTGCTTCCGAGGGGGACCGATCGCCCCGCCGACAAGTCCGCAAGGGCTTGTGAAGGGGCAGCAAGCACAGCCAGACTACCGAGAGCAAGAGCCTGCTGGGATCTAGTCACTGAGGTGTCTAGGTAAAACAGACAAACTGCAGGACCCAACAAAGGCGGTTGGAGGTCTGCGAGGCAGACAGCAGGATCGCAGTAGGAGAAGGGATGAGGAAGAAGGAGAGGGAGCGCATCTTGCTCACCTGCATGAAGTCTCTTCGATCCACCGCCATCTTGAGGCTGCTGTGCGCGCAGCGCGAGGCTGGACGACCCTACGAAACCGTCAAAACGCCTTCGGGCGGGAGGAGCTGGAGCGTGGAACCATGGGGGAGATCCTGCAGGACGACGGGGATGCTGATGGGAGGGAGAGGCATGATGGGGAGAGAGACGACGAAGTCAGGAAGGAAGACGCTGGATGGAGCGACAGGACGAGCAGGGCGAGTCCGCGGATCCAGAGCTGCATGGCCGCCGGCACGGATACCACAGTTTCGGATACTCACGGATACTTGCGGATACCTATGGATACTTGGGATATCGCTGTGGATACTTTTGAACCTATTAGGGAGAGGGTTGTCAGTATTGTGGTCACCACCCCACCCCTCATAAATCCTAAATTTGTTGATATTGTAGGGGTACTTGGATGAAAGGGTACCACCCCCTACCCAATCGTGAGCGCATCAAGTTGTGAGGAGACAGAAGCACCTACTACCCTGCCTTTGTGACTACCCACCCTACATTGGTGGAAAGCCCAGAAAGTTAGTTGACAAGTCCTTTGGGCATCCTGTATGTTTGAGTTTCTTGGTTTTCACTTATTGGCTCAATTATATTATCTCCATTCTATTGAGCTCCTCCTGCAATGATTTGAACCATCACCACCATTGCGTCAATATACCCCCAGTATTTTGAAACCACTACCCATCATTCCAAAAATCAATATTGCCGTCATATGACCGGTCAGCTCACAACCCCTACCAGCCTCATATTGTTCACTACCCCTGCATGATAGGATATTTGGTCTCTTCTAAATGACCCTCCATGTACCCCCCACCCCATCCTTCATACCCCCTACCCTATGATCTGCTAAAGTGACCAGCCTATGCATTTCAAGACTGAACGGAGAGCAGAGGGAGGAGAGGAAGAGAGGGGAGGAGGAGACGACGAAAGTCAAGCTCGGATGCGAGAGAGTCAGGAAGATGAGAAACGGTGACCTCATGCATTGATTAGGAGCCACAGGCCAAGTAGGACAAGAGCAGCGCTGAAAGACGGGAATAGGATGTTGCAATAGCGTGTAACTGAAAGCAAATGGATCAAACGTTTGTGAGGAACTTAGAGACGTGCAGAGGTACATTCAACGAGTGGCATTAAAATAAATAGGAAGAGAGCACAAGAGCTGCAGGCCTGAGCATGCACGGTTGGGTGCTTAGTCGAACACATAATGAAGTACAATCAGAAGAGGGAGATTGAGATCTCAGTCTATGGGATGATGTAACGCACAAGGCGATGGATTGATGGAAACATGGACGGTCATGATGGTCTTGAATCGATGACATGAATGTTCATGGTGAGAAGTGCCCCTGAAGCTGCCATGGTGGCAGATGATTGGCGGGCTGAGAGGAGGGTTGTTCAATGCTCTCAAGAGGAGCGCTAGCATTGTGAGCGGGAGGAGCGGGACTCTGGCGATGAAGGTGAATCTGAAAACGATCATGCCATGCTCGCAGTCCCTCTGAGGGAACTGTCTTCATGTCATTGTACATTGATCCTCAAATCCCCATCACCCCCTTCTGCCTTGAGAAGCTCGCACCCTCTCGCTACCATGCTGCCTCTCTTCATGCATGACTTGGACAGCAGAGCTTTCCCGCTGCCTCCTCCTCCAATGCTTTCTCCTGCGGGAGGATGGCATTGGCTCCCTGCTCCAGGATGTTTTCCGACTCTCCCTCTGCCAGGACGCCGACCATCGAGCTGTCGCAGGTGCCGCAGCTGTGTACCCGAGATCTGTTCCTCATGTCATCCTGCAGCAAATGGCGCGAGAATATCACCAGATGTCCAATGACGCTCTCCTTATGTATGTAGCCCAGGTGATGCAAGCGGGATGAGGAGGCGGCTTCCTTACTGCGGATTGGGAGGGGGGGAGGGAGTGTTTTGGGGGTTTGGGGCGGGGATGGTGAGGGAAGACAGAGGATGGTCAGCTGGAGAGAAAGGTGTGACGATAATCTTTGATCTGCAGGGGGATCACGATGCTCATCGTGAGCGACTTCTGCGAGAGATCATGGTGAGAAGTTAGTGCCCAACAAACTCGGACGAGTCGAGCTGGGGAAGTGTGACTGAGTTGACTCCCGCTGGCTGACAGGTTGTAGACAACGTCACCTGGAAGGATGCCCACAAGAGATTGAACGAGATGGAGGTTTGGGATCTTCATCCTATCTGCCTCTCCCTCCCCAGTTTCGTTCCTCCGCCTCGTCTTCTTGCTCTTCCCTTCCCCTCTCCTTTCCCCTCCTCTCATCTCTCTCTCCTCCCCTCCCTCCTCTTTCTCAACGTCGCCCTTGTCCTCTCCTTGTTACTCCATCATACAGTATTCTCTTCCTCGTAGATTCTCCCTGTCTTGGAACAAACTCTTCTCTTGCTTTCCCTTTCCTCGTCACGTTCCGTCTCTCTTGACAGTCTGATTAGGCGGCCAGCAAGCGCGGCATGTTCATCGCGACTGTGCCTTTCAAGACAGGTGACCCAAGAAAGTCGGATATGATAAGAGCGACGAGTAGGATTGAAGAGCTAGAAGTAGAGACGTCATTCTTCGAGAAGGAGAGGGAATAGAGCAACGGAGGGTGGTTGCAAGGGGAACAACATCAGGAAGGATTGAGAATGAGGACGCGGAAGCGGAAGGGCAAGGAGAGGAGAAACGATAGCGGAAGGGGAGGGGGTATGCAGAATTAGACGGGGAAACGACGGGAGGGGAGGACTCGATTACTCGCTGACTTAATCTCAAAGGCATCGCACTTGGTGTTGTCGGATCGATCGCTGCAGTCCCGCTGGTCTTTCAGCTCGATACAGCTCTCTGGTTCAACGAGTACTTTGTGAGTCCCTCCTGCCTCTTGCGGCTTGCTCGTCCTGTCTCTCAACTTTCCTTTCTTCGAGTTCCGACTATACATTGCTACTGCCTCCTCACTGCTCCCGTCCTGTTCTCCTTCTCTGCTTCTCCTCAACTGCGGTCTAGTTTCCTCTCTCTGTTTGTTCCAGTCTCCCTGTTCTGCACTTTCACTTTCTAGCTCTCCTCTGCTCTTTGCTCAGCACCTTAGCTTCATCGTCGTTTGTTAGCTTCTCTCCCATCTCATCGCATCTCTTCTCAACTCCTTCTCTCTTTCCCATGCTCTCCACCTGATCTTTCCTGTTTTATCCTTTCGCCTGCTCCCTCCTTGGTGTTTCGATGGTTCTCACGCAGTAGCAGGTGACGGCCGATGTGGCAGAGCCAGAGGACCTTGAGACTTGGCTGGAAGTAGGAGCATGGTGAGCTCAAGAGAATGGAGGTCCAAGGAAGGAAAACAAGGAACAGGGGGAGAAGAGAGATCTTGATGAATGGAAGGAGGCAGGCAGGCAGGCAGGCAGGCAGGCAGGTAGGCAGGCAGGGAGGAGGCAGCAAGGTAACAAGTCAGGAATATTGGTAGCAGAAGGAGGGGCCCCTGGTGCTGCATATGTTGATCTCAGCCGCAGGACTTGGAATTGGATGGAGCCGCCTATCGGTCAGCTGTCCTTCCTCTTGCTCTGCCTTCAGGTCTTGAACTCTCTTGCTCGTGCTCGAGTTGACCTCTTCTCGCTAGTTTGCCCGTAACCAGATGCTCAACTATGGAGCCAAGCCTTACACTGCTAGATTGAAACAGTGAGCCGATTCTTGTGTGTTGGCTGTTCCCGCCCTGTGGATGCTTATGAAAAGAACAACACATCCATCCCTCTGTCTTGTCATGAGAGTTCAAACTGTGGAGGTTTCTTCTAAGTAACAACACTTGTCGCAGATATCGGGCTGGAAGACTCTGCGGGTTATATCCTCAGTACAGCAGGTCGATCGTCTCTGAGTTTGCCATGTCATGCAAGTGGCATGACTGAGGGGACAAGTTAGACTGAAAATGAAATAATTACCAGTAGACTGAAGATGAAATAAATACCAATCAGCTCAACAACTGTTTCTCGTCATCATGCTCATATCCACATCTTTGTCATGTTGTTCTCACCCACATCTTACACAAACAACCACTACTTAGACCAGTTTGTTTCATCGCATGATACATTTCATTAAAAAGAATAAAAAGTTATCTCTGTACAGCATCTCCCCCCCCTCATTCGTGCGACTCTCTTAGCAAATGAGCAGCATCCGTGTACAGCAGGCCTGCATTGTTCCCAAGGTTCACTCTGGCCTTCTCAAACTCTGCATCCTTTGCCTCGATGCAGGGCTGGATTGGAGTGAAAGATTTTCGTCTGAAGCTGCTCAATTCCTCGTCCAGCAGTCCTAGCTGAACCAAGTATGTCGAGCTCGATGATCTCTTCATGGAGTTTCCCAGATTCCCGCTGCTCTTAACATGCGCTGAGCGAGTGGACGATCTGGGCGAGGAAGACGCTGAAGATGCAGAAGACGAGGAAGACGAGCTCTTGGTTGTCTTCAACCATTCCGAAGCTTCATTTCGCCCTCCACAACGCAAGAGCTCCTCATAGAAGTACTCATCAACCAGGCTCATTCCACCTCGCTGCTTCATCGCCTTCAGATTCATGGCTGGAACCTTGGAGGCCATTGCAAGGAAGTTTGGTTCGTGAATGGAGAGAGAAGCCGATAGAACTTTGTGTTCGACTTGGGCGAAGGATGAGGGCAGTAGAGGATGCAGTCCCTGGTAACGAACAGAAGGGAGATAGGAAGGAGAGGAGCTGTCGACTTGAAGTCAGAGAGCAGGAGCAGCAGCACGGGCAGGACGTCGATGGACCGGAGGAAAATATGGAGCACCGCTAGAGGATAGACCTTTGATTTTAGGCAGCTACAAGGAAGATCTTATGGGGGGTGGTAGCTGGTCAGAGGTGGGGTAGTCGATAATGGGGTACATACTTGTGGCTCTGTGACACATTCGAAATGACGTCTTTTCGACAGTTAAATGTGTTTTGAGGCTGTTCCCGCCTAAGGCACGCGCGGCATGGCGATTCTGTTGATGACAAATAGATGACAGTTTGCTGACATTTAATAATGTTTTATAGACTAATGGTCAAAGGTCAATGGCACATTCTTTTAAAAGGTTGGCGTACTGTTGCAGTACACATGAAATTATTTGAAATTATTTTATTTCTTCATCCCTTTGATCTCTCATATTTGAAATATTGTTGATTAAGTTTATACTCGTTTCAACAGGTACATAAAAGAAAAGGTCGTAACTGGCCAACTTTGTTATGCGGTGATTATCAGGGTTGTAAGCTGATGACTTTTTTTTAATAAAAATGTTGTAGAGACCATACCTATTCTTTTTTAACAGGCAAATTGGCACGGGAAAATCTTGTCACTACCCCTTCTTTTTCCATCGATCAGTACCCCCTTCACTCTATCTAGCAAGGAAGGGGTGCAGAGCTTCGAGAGCAGCGATTGCATCCTTTCGCGGTCACCTCACTTTTTAAATGTTATACTTTTAAAATGTTTACTCTCCACTTAGCACGTCCGCACCTTCAATGTAAACCCGGGCGTTCCGTGTATTAGTAATATAAGCTGATAAAGTCTTTACATGCTCGTTATAAGTACCTGGATCGTTCTGGTTCCACAACGATTGAAGTCCCTCGCCTTCAATCCGACCCCTTGTCAATGCCTGCCTCAAATGACCACCTACCCCCGTTCAATCCAACAAAGTACCCACCCTTGCTAGTTTTGAGCTTGCACCCTACCCTTCAGGTGGTTAAATTGGACAGCTCAACATGTCCTGGTACAAAAATAAATCTCAGACAAATCTCTCTTCTGTGTCTGCCCCATGATCTCTGTACCTGTACTTCTGAGAGCCCAAAGGGGGGTAGGGGTAGCTTTAGGGGATTTGACTAAAAACTCCCTTCGACTCCTTTCAATACCGTACCGTAATTAAGTAAAACGTTTAGTCAAGTCAACTCTGTGGGCTCAAGGAGTCGCCGCCCTCAGATATTCTCTGAGGCGGAGTTCCGTTTCTTCAGTGATAACCGTCGAGTACCACTAGTAAGCTCGCCCCGGGGATTTTAGATATTTGATCTGAAGGCATCAAGGTCTATTCGAACTTCAATATAATGAATAAAGCTCGAGCATAAGAGGACAGCAACTTCTTCAACCTTGCTTTTCCTGCGCACAGTAGGAGCTAGGGGAGGGGAAAGGGATGAGGCGGAGAGGAGACGGAGAGGAGGAGCGAGGATGAGGAGCGAGAGAAGAAGCGATAATGGCAGGTTGACGGAGGATGGTGATGGTTGAAGGGAAGCCAAGGCACAAGAGATCTTTTAGCTCGTCGATAACAGTTTGATCGGCTTGACGTCCTGTTCCGGTTTATTCCCAATGGATTGACTATGATTGCTCGCTTCCTGTAGGGCAGCTTTCTGTTGCAAGGATCACGATGCCGGAGTTGCCGGAGGTGATCGAGAAAACGTTGTGGGGTGACACAGTCCTGTCCTCCTTCGTCCTCGTCCTCGTCCTCGTCCTCGTCCTCGTCCTCGTCCTCGTCCTCGTCCTCGTCCTCGTCCTCGTCCTCGTCCCACCTGCTCACCATCATCTACCAGTACTATTGCTCTCAGCTCCTTGTGTCTGACGGTATGGCTTGTCATGCTGCAGGTGGAAAGGGCGAGAAGAGTACTCGAGCGCTTCTGCGTTGGGTTTGTCGTCAAGGTGAGTTAATTTTTGCCTCCTCCTCCTCTCCCGCTTTCTTCCCGCTTTCTTCTCCTGGTTTCGCACTCCTTTTCCTTCCCTCGCCTCGCCTCGCCTCACCATGTCTTCATTGTCCTTTCCCTGGTTTCATGTTTCTTGCTTCGTCGTCATCTCCTTCGATGTCAACTCATTACTCGTCGTGTCTCAGTGTTGCCAAGTCGTTCAAGACAACAAAGTCTTCGAAGGAGTTGCCCCCGACACTTTCAAAGAAAGAATGACTGGTGATCAGTTGGCGCCTTGCGTGCTGCTCCTGCACCTGCTGTCGCGCATGTTGCTGCTGTTTGCTCATGATCATCGCGATTGTTCAAGATGTGATGTGAAGATTCCAGAAAACGTGTGGTGACCTCAAATGTCATATACACCCCGATGCCAATCAAGTCGCTGAAGGATCATTGTGTGTTGTTGTTTGTGCTGACTGCAGGCAGGAGCTGTGCTCATGCTACATACCAGGGGCCACCATCCTAGCGGCAAGGAGGAAAGGAAAACATCTATGGCTAGAGCTCAAGGAACGTCCTTGGCCACTGATACACCTCGGCATGACTGGTGAATGGAACATCCTTGTCCTGAGCGATTGTGACTTCTTCTCCTTCCCTCCTCCTACACCTTCCTCTCTTCATTGTCTTTCCCGCTATATGTGTCGCCTGCTCCTGCTCCTGCTCTCCTGCTCCTGCTCTCCTCCTCCTCCTCCTCCTCTTCCTCCTCCTCTTCCTCCTCCTCCTCCTCCTCCTCCTCCTCTCCTCCTCCTCTTCCTTCTGTTCTCTTCTCCTCCTTTCCTTTTGCGACCAGGGAGTTTTGCTGCGGTTTCCCCTGATGGCACAAAGGAGGTTGCCGAATATGTCAACTCTCGGGTGAGAAATGACGTGGAGAAGAAAGGGAAAGAGAGACAGGGGAGGGAGGAAGGGGACGGGAATGAACAGGCAGACGGAGGGCGGCGAGAAAGGGGGGGACACAAGAGGAAAGCGGAGGGAATAAGGAGGGGGGGGGGGGGAGCAAGGGAGGATCAGGGAGAAGGAGGATGTAGGGAGAAGGTGAGTATTGAATCAGGTGGATGCGGAAAGTTGGCCGCCGAAGTTTTGGAAGTTTCGACTCGTCATGGAGGTGAATAGGAATTTTACTTTGAGAACCATGTTATCATCTTTGCCGTTGATCTCTTGTCCCTGCTCGTCCTGCTCGTCTTCCTCTTCCTCTTCCTCTTCCTCCTCCTCGTTCTCCCTCCTCCTCCTCGTTCTCCCTCCTCCTACCTGTCCTCCCTCCTTCCTCGTCTTCCTCTCCTTTCTGTTCCTTCACCCTCCACCCCCTCCTTGTTCTTCTTCTCCTCCCCTCGTCTCTCTTACCCCTCCTTGCTCTCCTCTCTCTCCTTACGTCTCTTCCTCTCAGAACGGCAACGATGTCGCTTTCATAGCCATCCGGCGCTTTGAGCGCGTGAGGATGCAGCAAGATCCTAGAAGAGAGTCTCCTGTGAGTGTGACGGCAGCCCTCCTTTCGTTTGTCTCCTCCACCACCTCCTCTACCTCCTCCTCTACCTTTTCTTTCCCTCACCACTCACCACCTTCTTCTCTTCCTTGTTCTGCTTCTGTTGCTCTTCTCTACCTTCCCTCTTCACCTTCCTCGCCCTGTTCATTCCCTGTTTGGTTTGTCTCCTTCTTTCTGCTCCTCCACTCCTACTTTTCACGCGCCAGCAGGTCAAAGACCTCGGGTTCGATCCTCTCACTGACATGCTTCCCCTTGCCGACTTCAAGGACGAACTGCTATCACGCTCAGGGTATCTTCCTCCTCCTCCACCACCACCTCCACCTCCACCTCCACCTCCTTACCATCATCACCACCATCACCAACTCCACCTCCTCCACTTCCCCTCCTCCTCCTCCTCCACCACCACCACCACCACCACTGCCGCCATGATCACCACCACCACCTCCTCCTCCTCCTCCTCCACCACCACCACCTCCTCCTCCTCCTCCTCTTTCAAATCCTGCCTCCTCTGGCTGTTCTTGCCTTGCTTGTCACAGCTCTTCTTCCCATCCCAGCTGTGGTTCTGCTGACTGCGAGCAGCCCAGTCAAAGGAGCTCTTCTCGATCAATCCTTCTGTGCGGGTGTTGGAAATTGGATTGCAGATGAAGTTCTATACCAGGTGACAAGATGCATCCTTCCTCCTTTCCCTCCTCCCTTTCTCCGTCTCCCTCTTATCACCTCTCATTACCTCTCTTCTCCTCCTCCCTCTCCACCACCTCCTCCTCTTCCTTCCTCATGTTTTTCTAGGCGCGCCTCCATCCTCAAACCCCCTCCTCCTCGCTCTCGTTGGAGCAGGTGAAGGTCAGCTGAAGTTTCGCTTGCTCACTGGAAGGTGGAGGTGGAGGCTGTGTGGCAAAGTCTGCAGATGGTGATCGGGAAGGCGTGCGAGGAGGAGGCGGACAGCAGCAAGTTTCCTAAGGACTGGCTGTTTCATTACCGGTGCGAGAGGAGGAGGAGGAGGAGGAGGAGGAGGAGGAGGAGGAGCAGCAGCAGCAGCAGGAGTGGGGGAGGAATGGAGTCAGTTTTCGGGGGAGATGGAAAGGGAACATCGGGCAGCAAGAAGGTGACTAAGTGATTGAGAGTGAGAGCAGGTGGAACAAGAAACAAGCGTCCAAGGTAATGAAGAGGAGAACGACTGAACGAATTCCTACCCGTTGAATCCAAACATGGATCTGAATAATCCCTCCCTCCCTCTCCCTCCCTCTCCCTCTCCCTCTCCCTCTCCCTCTCCCTCCCTCCCTCTCCCTCTCCCTCGTTTCCTCCCTCTCTCTCCCCCGCCCCCGCTCCCCCTCTTTCCCGCCCTCTCCTTCCCGCTCCCTCCTTCCCTCACTCCCTCACTCGCTCTCTTTCGGTTTGGTTTCTCTTTGTCATTCTTCTCATGTCAGACGCTCGAGGGTCATAACATTTCCTTCCTGACTGTCGCGTGAGTTTTTCCGCCCATCAGCATCCACGATGCCTCTGCAATCTCTCAGTCCTCCTCCTCTTTCTCCTCCTCCTTCTCCTCTTCCTCTTCCTTCTCCTCCTCCTCCTCTTCCTCCTCTTCATCCTACCTGTCTCATTTCTCTGCAGTGGTCGAACGACCGCATGGGTTCCAGCGCTGCAGAAGAAAACGACTACTGGTGCACCGCATGCTGAGACGCACACTCCTCGTTCTCCTGTCCACCCTCCTCCCCTCCCCCTCCCCTCCTCCCTTAGCTCCCCTCCCATCCCCTCCCCTACCTTTCCCCTTCTCCTCTCTTCTCTCCTCGTCCTGCTCCCCTCCCCCGCCCCTCCTCCCTTTAGCTCCTCCCCTCCCATCCCTCCCCTACTTTCCCCTTCTCCTCTCTTCTCTCCTCGTCCTGCTCCCCTCCCCCGCCCCTCCTCCCTTACGCTCCCTCCCCTCCCCTACCTTTCCCCTTCTCTTCTCTTCTCTTTTCTCCTCGTCCTGCTGGTTGCCTGGCTTTGTCCTCTTGTCTTCCTGCACCTCTATGGCCCTAGCTCTCTCCTCGCTCTCTTACCTCCTACTCTCTCAACAGCAGGCCAACAAGTTGTCGGGAAACGCATCAAGAAGGGAGGGGAAGAGAACAATCCAGTCAAGAAGGAGGAGGGGGAGGAGGAGGAGGAGGAGAGGGAAGACCAAGATATCAGCATATCAAGGTTTGTGCCTGGACGATTGAACGGTGGACTGAAACAGCATGTGGAGTAGGAAGAGGAAGAGAGGAGCGGGCGACGACGAGCGCACGCCAGGAGGAGCGCGAGGAGGAGGAAGAGGGAGGAGAGGAGGAGGGGGATCAAGAGGAGCGAAAGCGAGCAGGGGTACGACCGCGAAGGAGGAAGGAGGAGGGAGTGGGTCAAGAGCAGTCAAGGAGGAGCAGGAGAAACTCAACTCAGAGGAGGAAGAAAAGACAACGCGAAAGAACAGAAGCGGGAGGGGAAGGCAGACAGAAAGCGCAGAGAAAGGAGGGGAAAGAGGGGAGCGAGGAGGGAAGCGCAAGAGGGGTGGCAGGGAAGGAAGGGGAGGGAGAGGAGGAAGGAAGTGAAGGAGGAGCAGAAGGCACTAAAGTTTTACTGGAAGCCGCCGTTGAAAACTTCGTTGGCCTCTGCCTCCATCTTCTTCATCTTGTCTCCTCCTCCTCTCTTTCCCTCCGCAAGCTCCGTCGTCCTCCCCTTGTCTGCCATCCCCACGATGGCGTTGTCCCGCTCGAGCTTCTCATGAAGCTTCAGCTGCCTGCTGTTGCGTTAGAAAAAGAAGAGAGGAGGGGAGGGAGCAGAGGAAGAGGAGAGGGTGAGGAGGAGGATGGAAGGAGGGCCGAGGACAAGCACTGAGGACAGCATGGGACAGGACGGCATCTTAGTCGTTGGACCTTCTCAGCTCGCGCTCTTCGCGTCTCTGCATCTTCTTTTGATTTCTCAGCTCGCGCCTGACCGCCTCCGCCTCAGCAGCGCTCGAAGTCGGGAGAATGTCCGCCGGCTGGTAGTCCGCCGACTGCAATCAGATGAGATGAAGCAGAAGAGAAGTGAGAGGAGAGCGAGGAGAGAGAGAGGAGGAGAGAGGGGAGAAGGAGAGAGGGGAGGAGGAGAGAGGGCAAGTGAGGAGGAGGGGAAGGTGGCAAGGAGAAAGATCAATGAGGGAGGAAGGGAGCGAACAGCGCGAGAGAAGAAAAGAGCTGCAGGCTGATGGAGGGAAGGAGGAAGGAGAAAAGCACAAGCGAGGTTCTCAGGGAGGAGGGGACGGAGGCTGGGAAGAACGGACAGCAGAAAACGAAGAAGCAGGAGCAGGAGCAGGGGCAGGGGCAGGGGCAGGGGCAGGGGCAGGGGCAGGGGCAGGGGCAGGGGCAGGGGCAGGGGCAGGGGCAGGAGCAGGAGGTACCCGGGGAGGAGCCTGAAGGGCTGCCTTGTCATTCCTCGCTGATCTCTTGTTGACGATCTTGGCGATGCGTCGCAGAAGCTCCTTCCTCCTCTCCGTCGCCTCCTCCTCCCCCTTGCTCAGCACCTTGCGGTGGAACTTGAAGCCCAGCGCCTGGTTGGACTCGCAGACTCCCTGGCACATCAGGGGCACGTGCGAGGCCGGGACGTGGTGGAGGTTCAGGTCGTGCAGGCCCGTCATGAACTCGCCGACGCAGACATTACAGAACTCCGTGGGCTTGTCACGGCTGAAGTAGTGGACGAGCTGCGACCAGAAGGCATGGTTGAAGTAGTGAGGAGCAAACTCTTTCTGTCCTCTGTTCACAGTCGAATGCCCTCCCCTGATGTCCCAAGGCTCATCGTCGTCGGAGTACTCAGTCACGTTCAGCCCCCTGCTGTACCTCCTCATCCTCCTCCTCTGCTCCCGCTCATCCTCCGTCTCGTTGTAGATCCCGCGAGCGAACCCTGCCCTCCTCCTCTCCCATCTGTGCGCTACCTCCATGTCGTCCCCGACACACTGCTCGGGATGCTCATGGCACCTCCTCGCGATCGCCCGCGTCTCCTCGTCGTAGTCCTCGTCCGCAGGATACGCCTTCCTCCTCTTCTCCTCGTCCCCTGGCTCCAGCCGATCTGCTGGATACCTCGGCCTCCTCCCTCCTGCCAGCGGGAAATGACGGCCAGTCATATCCCTCCTGTACCGAGGAGCGTCGTCGTAGACCCCTTCCACCCCCTCGTACGCGTTCCGAGCTGACTCCCGAGCTGATGCTGACTCAGCTGCCCTCTCAGCATATCTCTCCCTCCTCGTCCGCCTCTTCCCTCCCTCCTCGATCTTCTTGGCCACCAGCATCGCCGCCTCCTTCACCACCTCGGGAGCAAGCTTGCTGGCCACCACATCCGCCACCCCTCGCTCGCTCTGCTTCAGCTTGTGCTCGTAGCTCGCTCCGAAGCCCTCCCGCTCCGCCAACCGCAGCTTCTTCTGCAGCAGCCGGTTTCTCACCTTCTCCTTCCTCAGCTGCTCCACAAGGCTCTCGACCTTGGGCCTCTCCTCCCTCCCTCCTCCCGGCAGTCGGACCTTCTCCCTCCGGAACAAGGAGGAGCTCGACCCACGGTTCGCTTCCCTTCCTGCATCATCAAGTCACTTCCTCCTCCTCTCCCAAGCACAGCATCAGTACCTCGCGCGTCTCTCCTCCCTCCCTCCCTCGACGAGGGCCCTGAGTAGCTCGGGGGCTTCAGCGCGGAGTCGATGGAGGCGACGGCCGCGTGCAGCTCCTTGTCCAGCTGCGTCTTCTTCGCGCTTCCTCGCAGCCTCTCAAGGTCGGAGGCCCCCGACGGGGTCAGGCCGAACTTGCTGTTCGCCTCCTCCTCCACCTCCCGCGCAGCCTCGTTCGCCTCCTTTCGCTCCTCCTCCTTCTCCATCGGAGCCCTCAGGCTGTCCACGCGCCCCTCCCACTGCTTGTCCATCAGGTGCTCCACGTGCCGCAGACTCTTCCTCAGCCGCTGCTGCTTCGCTTCCTCCCTCCTCGCTGGCACGGGCTTGCTCGCGATGTTCCCACCGAAGGGAAGGCCAGCAGGCGGGTGCCACTCCTGCAGGAAGTCGCTGGGGCTAGTGGGCACTGAACTTCCTCCTTCCCCGTGCGTCTCCGCCCACGTTCCTGCTCCTCCCACCGCTGACTTGCGGTCCTGGAGCTGCAGGAAGTTCAGATGTGAAGGAAGGATCAAGGAGAGGAGGAGACAGGAGGTGGGAAGCTGGTGGGCAGAGCAGGGACAGGAGGAACAGAAGCAGAAGCAGGAGCAGGGGAGGGAGAAGGGAGGCAGGAAGAGGAGGGAGAGAGGGAGCGATGAAGAGAAGTAGCCGGCAGGACCTGCTGAGGAAGGGAGGGGTCTGCAGTGGCGAAAAGACGCTTGGTGGGCAAGTCCTGCAGGTCCGTGCTCATAAGCATGTCTGCTGCTTCCTTGGCCTGCTTCTCCATGTGCATCTGAAGGGCACAAAAGGATCAGAGCGGGAGGAGGAGGAGGAGGAAGAAAACGAGGACGAGGACGAGGACGAGGACAAGGACGAGGACGAGGACGAAATGGTTGCAGTGGCAGACAAAGATTGGGATATGCATGGTGATGAGGATCAGGATGGGGAAATGAGGAAGAGCAAGGGGAAGGGAGGAAGGGGAGGAAGAGGAGGAAGAGGAGGAAGAGGAGGAGGAGGAAAATACGAGGGAAAGGAAGTGGGAGAGGGAGGCGGAGAGGACGAGGACGAGGACTTGAGAGTCTCGTCACCTCCTTCTGGTTGAACAACTTCCAGTCAAACACTTGCGAGCTCTCAGCCAGCTGCGGCAGCAGCAGTCAAAGAAGAAGAGGAACAAGTGGAGGAATGAGGAGGAGGTACCGAAGTCGTCCTCGCCCGCCACGTCACTGCTCCTCCTCCCGGCATCGTGTCGTACCCTCCCTTCCATGCGTCATCTACAGGCAGATCTCAGTCAGATTAGCAGGAGAGCAACGGAGAGGGGATGAAGTAAAGGGTGAGGTGAAGGCATCCAACATGAGGATCGCGATACAACGATGGACAAGTGCAGGAGTGCAAGAACGAGGACAAGACGCAAGGGGAGGATGAGGAGGAAGGAGACTAGGAGGAGAGGATGGGCAGCTGCACCAGAAAAGGATAAAAGAGCAGAGGAAAAGACAGGACAGGACACCTGCTATGCTGTCCCAGTGGAGATAACCCGGAGTGGGCTGGCCCATCATGTCCCAGTTGGTGGTGGCAGCAGCAAACCCGTCGATGTAAGCTCCGTTGGCCCTGACGAGCAGCAGTGAGGGCGAGAAGAGGTGGGGAGGTGGCGGTGAGGTGGAAACAGTCGAAGAAGAAGCTTGAAGCAAGCTTTGAAGGGGGAAAGAAGGAGAGGAGAGGAGAGGAGAGGAGGAAGAGGAGAGCGGACGAGGAAGAGGAAAGGAGAAAGTTTACCAGTCATGGCAGGAGCCAGGGACATCGCAGTCGGTCACTCGCGGCATCTCGAAGTCTCCCTGTGCAAAGCAAGAGGTAAGGGAGGAAGGAGAGAAGGAGAAGAGGAGGAGAGGGAGGAGACAAACGACAAGAGGAGAGGAGGTGAGGAAGCAGCGCAGCGGAGGCTCGTACAGGGTAGTAGAGCGAGGAGGTCTTGGCCTGTCCGAAGAGCTGGGGGATGGGGCCGAACTCCCTCAGGTACAGCAAGAACCTTCAAGGATGCATGAGAGGAGCCGCACAAAGACTGCAGGCCCTCACCGAGCTCGGTTGATCCTCGTCTGCAGCTCGTTGGAGCCCGCAAACGCCTTGAAGACTTGTCAGGTAGGAGCTGCTGGGGTGGCAGGCAGGCAGCCAGTGGGATGGAAGAGGAGGGGTAGAAGGCCATGAAGAAGGAGGGGAGGGGTGTAGAGGAAGAACCTTGTCGAGCTCTTGCTGGACGCTGTCTTCCTTGCCTGTCTGGCTCATCTGAAATGAGAAAGTCAGCTGAGAGAGAGGAGGAGACGAGCTCGGCACCTTCACCTGCTGCGAGGCCAGCTGCTGCCCCTCCAAGCTCTGCTCAAGCCCTTCAGCTGGAGTTGTCAGGCAGCAGCAACCTAAACTTACCCTGACGGCGACAAATCCCACAACTTGAGGAGGAGGAGCCAGTTTGGAAGCAGCAGTGCACAAAGCGCTATCCTGAGACGAGGCGCAGGAACTGAAAAGCACAGCATCATTAGAAGCATGAAGCAAAAAATGTGAGCGAACTGAAGGAGAAAAACGAGGAGGAGGAGAGAGAGTGGACGAGGAGCAGCAGCAGCAGCAGGATGAGGAGGAGAATGACAGAAGGGGAAGGAGCTTGGACCTGAAGGGCTGCCACATGGGAACATAGTCGTCCACCTTGATGGCGCTCTTGCGCGACTTCCTCGGGAGAAATTTCTCGAGGATCTGAAGGAGGCAGTGAGGAGCAGGAGAGTGGGTAGAGCGCGAGGGAGGGAGGGAGGGAAGGAGCGAGGGAGCATGCGGTGACCTCGGCTCTCTGGTGATCGAGCTTCTCCTGCACGTGAAGAGATCAGACGGCAGCTCGATGTCACTAACATCTCACTTGTCGCGCGTCGAGGAGGCGGTTGGTCTCATAGAAATAGTCCCAGCCTGCCTGCGCCTGTTGAGGAAGGTGAGCCAACGCGAGGAGGAGGCAGATGAGGAGAAGGAGGAGGCGAATGAGGAGAAGGACGAGCATGAGGATAAAAAGAGAAAGGGAGGACGACGAGGAGGTACCTTGTTCCAGCGCTCAGCCAGACCTTGCTGGCCGTTAGCCTCAGCAAACAGAGCTGAAAAAAAAGAAGTCAGACCACAAGAGGTTGATGTCAAGGTTGTCAGAGCCAGACCAAGTGCTTGCATGTAGTCCTTCTGCCCTGCGTCCGTGTCCCGACTCTCAGCCTCCCTACCGGCCAGCACCTGCTTCTGGCAGCATCGCAACGAGTGAGCACATGTAAGGAGCACGGCAAGGTAAGAGCCCTGACCCACCTGCTCAGATCGGAGGCTGTCCTTGCCGCCCTTGGCTTTCGAGTGTTCTGAATTTCAATCAGCACGCACATTTCTTATCGCACGCGCGACAACCCAGCCAGCGGCCGCGAGTAGCCACCCAGTCACGGACAGCAGCATCACGATCAGCCTCGTGGAAGCGCCGGAGAGCGTCTGCGCGACCGTCACGATCCTCGAGCAGACGAGGGTCCTCCCTCCCCTCACCCATGTACTTCAAGCTCGCGCCCAGCACAAGCGCTCGGCTGTTTGCGGATGTTGGCATCGGGGCCTGCCTCTCACTCTCTCCTCCCCGAGCGAGCTGACGCGATGCTTCTGGATGGCTCGGCGCTGCCGACGCCATGAAAGCGGCCCTCCTGCCACGTCCCAACATGCCAGCCCGTGACGTGAGTTGTCCGTTGTCGTTGTATCCTGGGCCGTAACTGCTGTACATGAGATGCTCTGCCACATGCGTGAGTGCAGGCTCCTTCGATGGGGATCACTTACCCAGACGAGGAGGAGACCCCAGTTGCACCGGCAGCGTTTCGTCCTCAACCCTAAATGATGGTAAGGGTGGGATGAAGGAGAGATGAGGGAGCGGGAGGGAGGATAGGGATAAGAGAGAGAGAAGACAGAACAACGAATTGCAAGCACAACGTGAAGTAACAATGAATCAAGGTATGAAGTAACAATGAATACAGGTATGAAGTAACAATGAATACAGGTATGAAGTAACAATGAATACAGGTATACATTGGGGTGAAAACAGGGAGGGCAAGTTGACAGTCATACGAGGATCACAGAAACGCAGAGATGTTGAGGGAGTTTATGAAGGAGGGGAGGCGGAGGGGACAGGTCTTACCCTCCAAACGGGCTGATGCTGTCAAGAGCAATGTGGGATGGGTAAGGACGAAGCATCAGCGACGCTATCGCCGCCAACGCCATGACCGCGCCAAGCCATGCCCAACCTCTCATCCCTTTCCCCGGCATCATGCCTCTTCGCTCTTGGGATTACCCACATCCCCGCACTGATTCAGCACCCGGCGGGCCGGCCCACGGCGACGGGGGCCGGCCGGGCCGGCGACGCGCTGCCGCGCGCGGACCGTTGCTTACGGTGACAGTCTTCACTCAAAGTTAAGTTAAAAATCAGTACTGGGTAGGGACGGTGGCTACCATTGAATGCTGACTCTACTAGGGGGCACGAACAGAGTACCCCCCACTGGTCCTATGATCCTACGTTGCTACCCATAGCCAAAGACCGCCGCACTGCAAAGGAGGGTCCCTTGCCTGGTATAAGAAGGGGTGGGGGTAGGGGGACTTAGTTGAGCAGGGGGGTAAGTGTAGGGCAACAGATGCACCATGACAGCGACATGTTCTCAAACAAGATCAGGTGAAGAGATGGCGATGATGAGATAACAGCTGATACCGTGATTGATGATACGATAACCATTCAGCTGATACATTGATGATACGATAACAGCTGATACATTGATAATACGATGACAGCTGATACATTGACTCGATGATACGATTGCAGCCGATGTATGGATGATACGATTGCAGCCGGTGTATGGATGGTACGATGGCAGCCGATACATCGATACCTTAACTTTGAGTCATGAATGATGATGATATAAGAGGTGGTGCATTGATGATGAGAAGAGAGTTCATACATTGATGATGAGATAAGAATCAATTTCTTGACGATGAGAGGACTGAGAATCGAGGGATTGATGATGAAATGAGAAGTAGAAGTAGCGGAGAATATTCATGTTTGAGATGAGAAGTAGTGGAAGTCATCTTTCCACGTGCAAATATCTCAATACACGTTGTCTCTGTGTCATCCTTCATCATACAAACTTGCAGGTTGGCGTGTGGGATTGTTACCATTTCAATAATCTTCTTTCTTGCGGCGGATCGAATACTGCCGTCGGAAACCAACTCATTGTTGGGCAGCTTTGAAGAGAATATCACTGCTGACTGGAACTCAAGCATGAAATCCTATGGGTCTCATAATCAGACGGCAATCCGATTTCTATTGCCTACTGCGCTATCCCTCGGAAAGAACGAAACTGGAAACCAGAGCGTCTCTGCTCAGACTGTGGGAAACCTTCTTCTGCTGAACTCCAGCAGACTATTGCATGTAAATGAATCCAACAGGACGACCAACGTCAGCTTGAACTTGAGGTCACCTGTGGGCCCAACTGCAGAGGTGACACAGACGATCGTCAAGTCGCTGAACAAGCCCAGCCTTCCTTTCAGCAACTCCTGGTTAAGCTCGGGGTCTGCCAGGAAGACCATGGGAAGGCAGCAGGGGCGGAAGCGGAGGAGAAGGTGCCGGCACGTGCTGGTTAACTCGCAGGGGGGAGTGGGGTCCAGCGCTTTCATGGACTTGCTGAAGAGTTCGCACGTCGCTATCAACTCGCCCGAGGACGCCGACGGTTTCAAGCACAAGTCCTCTGATCAGTTTCGTCACACGCAGGACGAGATCGGACTGAGAGGGCTCGATTGCGCTTCCAAGGCCATGATCATCGTCGGGGACCCGCTGCACTCGATCGAGAGCGTGCACCGGCGATACAGTGTCGACCATCTCAACAAGTGGAGGGACATCGCACATCGCAGCCCCTACCCTGAGGGCACGAGGCTCTCCGACGTCTGGGCTGAGATCGCGCGTGCGCGGCAGGACACGACGGGGGTGTCGAACTACATCACTAGCTGGATGAGAGCTACACGAGAGCGGAACTGGCCAGAGCTGCGTCTGGTGACCACGAGATCGCTGTACGAGCATGCTGTTGACCATGCAAAGTACCTTGGGGTGGGGGATCACATGCTGAAGCCCTTCCGGGCACTGGCCTACAGGCCCCAACCCTTCAAGACCTCCGCCCCGCCATTGGTGCAGGAGATCTTCAAGCCCATCAGGTTGCAGATCAACAAGCTTGAGGCTGAAACCTCGTCTAGTCCTTGACTGGTTCAATAGACTTTCCGGCGCCCTCCACTGAGAGCCCAGCTGCTCACAGGCAGTTACCCCTCCCCGCTTTCCCTTTTCCCCCTCCCCACCGTCAATAAATCACGGAACGACCTTAAGTAGTAGTATATTTACAAGTCAAAGAAAAGAATCAATCAAGTAGTGAGAGCTTCAGAAGCGATGAGACGTTTGCTCGTTGGAGACCACAACGTCGCTGGTGAGCGTGAAGCCGGGGGTTGGCTTCTTCCCTCCCAGAAAGCTGAAGCAGCCAACCCGGGGAGGAGCAGCCTTCCCTGGCTTCATGGCATAGTCAGCGTCATCCTCCGAGGCAAAGAAAGCAGCAGCAGCCTTCTGAACCATCGCCTCCTTCTCCGCTCTCCGATCTATCCAACCCACAGCTTCCCCCTTCGCCTGCTTCCTCACGCAGCTTCCGTACGCCTGGTGCACCAGGGCATGGAGGGTCTTCCTCATGTCGGCTCGCTGCCCTGCGGTCATCGCCCGCCAGTTGTGCGCTGCCTCCTTCTTCACTCCCTCGATGCTCGGCATGCTGCTCGCGTACCGGCTCGCCCGATGCATCTTGAGGCTGGTGATGTTGATCCAGACCTCGTACAGGCACAGCCCGTGGGTCATGTAGTAGTACTCCGAGGGGAGCTCGCTGCTCTCATACACGTTGAGTGTCTTCATTGGAGCCGGCCAGGACCCGGCCCGCAGGTCGTCCACTGCGTCCTTGGAGGAGAGGAACCAGCTGGTGCACACGGCCTCGGGGCTTCGGAACCCCAAGGTCGTCCCTTGGACACTTCCGGCCTGCACCAGGGCCTCCGCGTCTCTCACGATGGACTTGGCCTGCTCGAAGTAGTTGTCGATCTCCTCCGGAGTGAGGACTTGCGCTTTGTCAGCTCCCTGGCTGTAGCTCGTGAAGAAGGAGATGTTTCTGAGAGAGGCTGCCTCCTTCACCAGCTTGTTCTCGCTCCCCGTGTAGTGCCACTCGCCCGTGTTCACGTCGAGCCTGTAGAAGGGCAGAAGCTTCCACCCGTGCTCTGCGACGAACAGAACGGCATCGATGAGGAAGCGAGCCATGTGGGGAGAGATGAAGAAATTGAAATTGATGCGAATAAAGCCCGGCTTGATCCCTTCCTCTCCTTGCAGTGCCGTCTGCTCTAGGCACAACGCGGACGCGGGTGAGATGTTGAACAGTTTCTGCCCGTAAGGACCAGCGCAGGAGCAGCCTGCTCGGCCTTGCACGCCGAAGAGATCGTTGAGGAGAGAAGCGACGAAGTTGTGATGAACCAGCTTGTTCCCATGTGCAACAACGAAGGAGACGATGCTCAGTCGCGCGACGCTCGTGTCCCCAAGAATGATGATACTCTTATTCGCCTTCCAGGCAGCAAGGGCTTGAGACCAGTAGTGGTGCTCTCTCTCCACAATCGTGCTCGGCCCTACCTCCATCTTCAGTCGGAACACCAGCCCGCACCGGATCGCTCCTACAATCTCCGGCGTCCCTCCCTCCTCCCTCTCCTCCACCGAGTCCAGGTACTGATGGCTGATCTCAGACACAAACAAGACGGTCCCTCCGGCAGGTGTGACCGGAGCTCCACGATTCTTGCAGGGTCCGTATAGGGAGTCCTTTTTGAACACGAGGACCCCGGGGGTCGACGGCCCCCCCACGAACTTGTGCGGAGAGATGAAGACAGCGTCCTTGTACGCCAGAGGCCTCGAGGGGTTCATGTCGATGTCCACGTAGGGCCCAGCAGCCGCGTAGTCGAAGAAGGCGAGGGCTCCGTGCTCGTGGAGAACAGTCGCAACCGCCTCCACGTCCGTCAGGATCCCCGTAACGTTGGAGGCAGCCGAGAAAGATCCGACCTTGATGCGGCGGTTCTGGTACTGCCGCAAGACTCTCCTGAGATGGTCCAAGTCCACCTGGCCCGTTGCGTTCAGCTGCACCTCCACCACGTCTGCGCCGCTCTCGCGCCATGGCAGGATGTTGGAGTGATGCTCGTACGGCCCGATGAGGACTAGGGGGGCCTCCGGGGTGCCGGCCGAGTCTTTCCAGTCCTGGCGATGCATCAGGAGCTGTGCAGTCTTGTAGATCGCAGCCGTGCAGCCGGAGCCTGTGAACACCACGACGTCCTTGTCTTTGCGCCCGTTGACGCTCTCGAGGATGATGTGCCGTGCTTCTTCACGGTACTTGGAGGTCTGCCGCCCCGTATGCGACACAGTCGTGTGCGTGTTGGCGTAGTGCGGGAGGACTGTGTTCCTGATCGCATCCTCGATGAAGGTGAGAGATCGACCGGATGCTGTGTAGTCGGCATACGTCAGCTTCCGCGGGCCGAATGGTGTGTGAATGGGCATGCCGGCGCCGATCACCGATTGCTCGATATGGCTGACAAGGCTTTTCTCCTCCGCTAACAAGGTGGACGCCATGGAGGCCGATCGGCTGATGTTGTCCGACCTCTGCTGGGGCTCAGGGGACAAAGAGAGCTTGCTGAGGTGGCCCACAGCTACTTCAGCCCTGATCGGCTCCCACTGGAGGGTCGACAGTGAACCGAAGTTTGTCCCGACCTCAAGCACATCGGATTCTGAGAGGTTGACAGAGGGAGACGACGACGACGAGGTCATGATGCTGACAGGAGTAGGTGTGACTAGCATTCACCTGGGAAACAAAAGGATCAATGGGGCTTCAAAGACAGATACGGGATGTTTCCGTCCTTGCTGTCTAAGGTAATGAGGTTGTACATCTCATCCTTCTGACGAGCTGAGTACTCCACCCGCATTTCTCTGCGCAAATAGCGCTGAATACAGTCTTACAGGTCTCAATCAGCTTCGAATGCTACAGCTCTGGTTAGGTTGCTGTAGCGCAATTGTGCCTTGGCTACAACAGCTCACACTCTCATAAGGTCTCAGTCCTCGCTACGTATCCCCCCTTTCCTTCAACCTTGATCTATAGTTTCATTCCTTTCTCCTTCTCTGTTCATTCCGTTGTCCTCCCCCCCCCCTCTTCTCTCCCTCCCTCCCTCTCGCCCCCATTTGTGCGTTGAAATCTATAAAGCAAAGGATACCCCTGTCCGTCTAAGGTTAATTGATTTTGACGTAGTACCCCTCCTCGAAGTCGACTCGCTTTGAGTACCCCTACGATTCCCATTTGAAATACCCCGTTGTATCACCCACCCACCCCCTCTCCTAGACCTCATAAGCAGCGTACCAGTTTATTATTCATTCCCACCCCAAGCTCAGGTGTATCTCTTCAAGTACCCCACCCACCAATCAAACCCTCAAGGACGGGTACACACTCAAATATTGAGCTCGTTCCGTCCCCGCTGACGTCATGGACGGTCACGAACGAGCTGTGACCCCACCCCCTCTCCTGGACCTTTTCAGTACAAGATCATACCATCCCTTCACCCTCCTCAGAACTTACGGTTCAGAAAGTGAATGGACACATCTTTTGTTCTTCATTCTTTTTTTGTGTAGTCAATTGGGTGGAAGTACCCCTCCATCCCACATACAAGGGGTGGGTCAGTACCGCACGTCCGTGACTGTCGATGACATGTTAACTTCTTTGCAACTATGCATTGTGGGAGAAAGACACCGAAAAGCACCGAGTATGATCTACAGTTCATTTGTCTATCTATGACTTCTGCCCCCGATTGAGTCTGAGGCAGCCCCTTAAAAAAAGAAAAAAAACAAGCGGGGGGGGAGGAAGGGAAGGGAAACCTAGCAAGACCTGAGACATGCTGGGAGCAGCAGGAGCTTCTGATCTAGTGGCGCTCAGCATCGACCATCCAAGGGAGATGCTCCATGGTATCGAACAGAGGGAAGCGATACATGCCCAGATGCAGGAGGTACATCGCAACAACCTGTAAGTAGCTTGCTCCCGACTTGTACGTTGAGCTTACCTTGTTCCTTCAGGTTGAGAGGGGCGTCTTCCGCCAACTCCGCCAGTAGGATCGACCCCAACCGCAAGGGCAGGAAGTTCTCCGGCGACGTGCTGGTCAACGGGAGAGCACAAGGGAGGAGCGGAGGATGCGGGCGGAGAACGTGATCCATGAGCTGGGACTGGTGCGGAACCCCTCCATCCTCCTGCTGGACGAGCCGACGTCAGGCCTCGACTCGGCGGCGGCAGAGAAAATCATAGGCGCTCGCGACAGGCTTCAAGGCCCAGCCAGAGTGCATGGCGCTCGTGTACATCATGCTGTGCGCTATCATCGGCTTCATGTTCTGGGACCTCCAGCTGGGGCCGTCGGACATCAACAGTCGCATCACCATGCTCTTCTACGTCGCGGCTTTCCTGGTGTTCATGTCGGTGGCGGTGCTGCCCTTCTTCATCGTGGAGCGAGCTGTGTTCCTACGCGAGCGAGCCAACGGCTGGTACATGGTGCCGGCCTACGTGCTGGCGACGTTCCTCATGTCGTTGCCGGGGCTCTTCATCATCTCGCTGGTGAGCACGTTGCTGGTGGTGCTGCCGTCGGGGCTCAACGGATTTGGGGTGTTCCTGGTGGATCTTTTCCTGTCGCTGGTAGCAGCGGAGGCGTTCATGTGCGTGGTGGCGTCGGTGGTGCCTCACTACATCATCGGGATCGCGCTGGGGGCAGCGGTGTACGGCTTCTTCATGTTGTGCGAGGGCTTCATGAAGATCAAGGACGACATCCCGGACTTCTTCATCTGGGGGTACTACATCGCGTTCCACACGTACTCTTTCAGGGCGTTCATGGTGAACGAGTTTGAGGGCATCAAGTACTTTGTCAACAGCCCGCAGTTTGCGGACGGGAAGGCGGTGCTGAAGTTCTACAACATGGAGGACAAGCCTGTGTGGAAGGATCTTGTAGTGATTGCGGGGTATGCGATTGGTCTGCAGCTGATCTTCGGGACGATCCTGCAGGTGTTCCACAAGGGGAAGCGGTGAAGCCTTGAAAAGGGATTTTCATGTCGAAGTGTCGTGTATGTAGTGATTGGGATTCGAGCATTTTTGACAATTTTTCTTGAATTTTCCGTGCCTTGTCAATATCTTTGTTAGAGTTTCAATCATGTTTTTAAAAGCTTTTCAGCCTTTGGATTTCGCATATCGTTGCGCAATTTGGTGTATCGTTTGCAAACAGCTGTCATTACTAGTTGACACATTGCTCCTATTGTTGGATTTCATTCCGTGTTCCTGCCTTTCCTTTGCTCGTTTCTTCTTCACTTCCTACCAAGGTGCGACACTGCTCGGATGTTTTCGACAGCGTCCAAACTTGAAGCGGCCGCATGATAGTGTGCAGTTGTGACAAGTATATCAGTTACTGTTCAAGGCTATATCACGTCATATCACGTGGCTAGTAGTAGCAGAGCAGGTGCGGTCGCTACTACTCAGTGACTTGCACTACTTAGTAGTACTACCGTACTGATGTGATCTGAGTCACCAGTCGAAGTGACCTCATGTCGCAGTAGCAGTGATATCGTTAAGTTAAACTTCGGGACAGTACGAGGACAATCAGGGGAGCTTCTTGAACTTGATAGTCAGTTAACTTTCACAAGGCTGATACTATCACATTACCAATGATCAGACGATGGGACTCCTAGACCCACTGAGAAATGATAGACGAACGCGAGTGAGTTTGATCTTCACTGTACAACATAGGACCTGACAATTCAATGCCAAAAGTAAATCTAATTGTATTTCGGTAACTAAACAGCTTTGAACAACATCAATCTAAGGATGCTGAAACATCGAAAAAAATCTATTTCGAGTTGAGGGATAATAGGATCAGGCAGTAACTGCAAATAAGAGAACCAACGAGTATGGCATGGCATTCCCGAGCTTCACCGCTTCCCCTTGTGGAACACCTGCAGGATCGTCCCGAAGATCAGCTGCAGACCAATCGCATACCCCGCAATCACTACAAGATCCTTCCACACAGGCTTGTCCTCCATGTTGTAGAACTTCAGCACCGCCTTCCCGTCCGCAAACTGCGGGCTGTTGACAAAGTACTTGATGCCCTCAAACTCGTTCACCATGAACGCCCTGAAAGAGTAGGTGTGGAACGCGATGTAGTACCCCCAGATGAAGTAGTCCGGGATGTCGTCCTTGATCTTCATGAAGCCCTCGCACAACATGAAGAAGCCGTACACCGCTGCCCCCAGCGCGATCCCGATGATGTAGTGAGGCACCACCGACGCCACCACGCACATGAACGCCTCCGCTGCTACCAGCGACAAGAAAAGATCCACCAGGAACACCCCAAATCCGTTGAGCCCCGACGGCAGCACCACCAGCAACGTGCTCACCAGCGAGATGATGAAGAGCCCCGGCAACGACATGAGGAACGTCGCCAGCACGTAGGCCGGCACCATGTACCAGCCGTTGGCTCGCTCGCGTAGGAACACAGCTCGCTCCACGATGAAGAAGGGCAGCACCGCCACCGACATGAACACCAGGAAAGCCGCGACGTAGAAGAGCATGGTGATGCGACTGTTGATGTCCGACGGCCCCAGCTGGAGGTCCCAGAACATGAAGCCAATCATAGCGCAGAGCATGATGTACATGATGAGGCGGACGAGGAAGATACCCGGGTTACGCGCGTTGTTGAAGAAGGCTCGGTGCGACAGAATCATCAGCTGCACCAGGAACCCGTTGGTCTTCTTGTGCGGGTGCACCTGGTGGTCGATGGGCCTGGCCAGCCCCGCCGCGAGCGCCATGCCCTCGGGCTGGGTCTTGAAGCCTGTCGCGAGTGCCTGGATGTCCGCGTGACCCTCGAAGTCCGTGTTGGCCAGCCTCAGGAAGAAGTCTGCCGGGTTCGAAAGCCCCGGGCAGGGATACCCCATCCGTCCAAAGTAGTCCACAGAGTCGCTTGCCGCCCCGAAGTAGAGGCACTTGCCCTGCGACAGCAGACAGAACTTGTCGAAGTTGGCCCACACCTCTGACGGAGGCTGGTGGATAGTGCACACCACCGTCGTCCCCATCTTGGCCAGGTGCGACAAGTGGCCCATGATATTCTCTGCCGCAGCCGAGTCGAGGCCTGACGTCGGCTCGTCCAGCAGGAGGATGGAGGGGTTCCGCACCAGCTCCACCGCGATCGACAGGCGGCGGAGCTGCCCTCCGCTCAGCCCCTTGCGGAACACGTCTCCTACGATGGTGTTGTTGCACGAGTCCAGCCCCAGCACATGGATCACGTTCTCCGCCCGCATCCTCCGCTCCTCCCTTGTGCTCTCCGAGTGCGGAATGAGCAGGTCCGCCGCGTACGCCATCGTCTCCTTGACCGTGAAGGGCGTCTGCAGCGCGTACTCCTGCTGCACGTACGACGCCACCATGCTGAACGTGTCGTCTCGCGGATACCCGTTGACCAGCACGTCGCCGGAGAACTTCCTGCCCTTGCGGTTGGGGTCGATCCTCCCGGCGATGGCGTCAAGCAGGGTGGTCTTGCCGCCTCCCGAGGGCCCGCAGATGGCGAGCATCTCCCCGGGCCGGACGATGCCGGAGATGCTATCGAGGATGCGCTTGTCGATGACCTCGCTCTGGCCGGTCTGAGGGTTCTTACGGCTGACGCGGACGTCGTAGGTGAGGTCCTTCCACGAGAGGGTGACGGGGTTGATGTGGAGGGCCTTGTATGCGAGGGAGTTGGCGGAGGAGGCGCCTCTCAACCTGAAGGAACGAGGTAAGCTCACCGTACAGCTGCTGCGTCGGGAACTTCGACTCCCTCCTACTTACAGGTTGTTGCGATGTACCTCCTGCATTTGTGTGTATTGCGGGATCTCGGGTGACATCTGAGACTGTGCCTCGTTAGTGGGTATGGAGTAAGAAAGGTTGCTCGTCGCCAACTCAGCCTGCATCCTAGCATGCGCCTCTGCCATGGCAGGGGAGGGCTACTGGGAACCCCTGTAGTGCGCAGGAGATATCATAGCCCCCTCGTTCCCCCCACCCACCCCTCCTGCTTTGGACGCATATTGACTGTCAAGTTTACTTCAGAAGTACTCCATGATATCTAGTAGGTGGGGTATGAGAACTAAAAATGTTAATCACTGGGCAAAGAGGGGTGGTTATTCCCAGGAAGGCAGGAGAAGGTAGGGTCCTACTGTAGCTTGGCTGGTCGGGGTTTCCCTGCAACAGGCGCATCCTAGATTTGCAGTCACACACCGGGTGGGGGGTTACCCTGGTGGTAGTCAAAGGTATCACCCCCACCCCCCTCCACCCTCCCCGACAGGGTTTTTGAGTTTTAAAATTTGAACTCGGGCACTGACGATCCATGACTGCCCATGACCTCTAAAACACACTTTTATATTCAATGGTCAGATCAAGAAAGGCGCGGTAGTGTTGTTTACTTAACTTTGAGTAAAGGATGATATTAATTAACTTTTCACTTTGACTAAAATAATGAGTCACGGCCGACTCTGTACCGGAATTGTTCCTCGTTTTATCACTACTACTTGTTTTTTGCCCCTACTTGTAAAACCTACTGGTACTGAAACTTTACTCAAAGTTAAGTGTTTTTCTGCCGGCCCGGCCGGCCCCAGAAGTTCCGGCGGGGCCCGGGCCCCGGGCCCCGGGCCCCCGATGCCGATCCTCATACTCCCTCGTGGAGCACCCAGGCATGGTGGGGCGCATGTCGAGGTGCTTGTACAGGACCCTGGCGGCGATCATGGTTGCATCGACAGCATGCACAGGGTGGGGGGAGGAGCAGGAGAAGCAGGAGCACGAGGAGAAGCAGGAGCAGGAGCAAGGAGAGCAGCAAGAGTGGCAGGAGCAGCAGGAATCACAAATCATTTTTCTCCCATCACGAAGCCCTGCGGAATATCGGGAGACAGAACTGGATGTCTTTGTTCAAGGGAGCACACGACGCTGTTCATGCATTCCGCACAGACTCGCAAGGATCTTCGATTGAGAGGAGGGATGATGGAGTCGCCAACAGCGATACCAGGTACCTTCCTCTGCATGTCCCCACGTACTCGCCGCCCTTGGCCTTCTTGTTCCGCTTCCTCTTTTTCGTCTCGCTCGCTGGAGTGTGTACTTGCTTCTCCTCTGATTGAGCGGAAGAATCCGACCTCCACAGGATCGAGTCGATCCTCAACGGCTGCCAGCTGGGGCACTGCCTGCTACGAGTGACGACCCTCTTCTCGAGCGCCTGTCGCTCAACTTCTTTCTCTAGGTCAACAGCAGCGAGGGGTACTTGGAGTTCTTCGAGAAGATCCTGGGGATGAAGATTCTGAGGAGGGAGACATTTGAGAGGAGAGGATGCGCCCATGTGACCAGCGGGACGCGTGACGTTGCTCGGCAGGTTCGGACAGATCAACATCTACAGGAACAAGGTGGAGGACCCGAGCTGGAACGAGACGGAGCTGGATGAGGCAGGGAACGCTCCTATCGTGCGAGATCTCGCCAAGAAGTATCAGAGCGAAGTAAGCCTTACGCACACGGAGGAGTTGGAGTTCGGCGACAATTCGACGACGGTACCCGCCATGGCGAGGGGGGCCGGAGCTCTGACCCCGCGATCAGAAGCCCTTCATGACGGCCAAGGCCTGGCCCGCTCAGCCTCGCAAAGACTTGAGCGCAAAGAGCGTGAAGAGCATGTTTGGCTATGGGGCATGCGAGCGGCACTTTACTGTTGAGATCTACTCCGACGACTCTGCCAAACGGTGATCAGAGAGAGGATAGGAGGAGAGGAGAGGAGAGGAGAGGAGAGGAGAGGAGGAGCAAGGAGGAATACATAAAGAAAGTGAGTGCACAAGACAAGTGAAAGGGAGAAGTGCGAGTAGGGCAGGGCACGAGTGAAAGGGAGAAGTTCGAGTAGGGCAGGGCACGAGTGCTTTCAATCAGGAGGGAAGTTAACGACGTCGCAGGTGGCAAAGAGACAGCAAACTGATTTCCTTGACTGTTGATCCTCGTGCTTTGAAAGAGCAGCCAGTGCTGGATGAGAACGCGACAACCTGCTACAGGGAAGGGAAGCTTGCTGTGAGAGGACGACGAGGCTCCTTCCTCTTTTCTGACCATAGGGTGAAGCAGACATGTCTGAGGGCCCCGGGAGGAGAATGTTTTCACGTCGGCAACGCAGTGCAGGAGAGGAGAATGGGGCAGGAAGAAGAGGGAGGCGAAGGGACAATGGAGATGACAGATGACGTGGAGCAGCCTCGAGCCATTCTTTGCATGTCTCCCTTCGCTGACAAAATACAACGCATAACACTAGGTCTTAGTCCTCCTTCTCCCCCCTCCTCTCCTATCTTTCTGACGGTCATTCTTCTCACGGAAAACAAACTCCTCAGGTGTCTCGGATTTGGGAAGCTCGATGGATTTTTGGATTGGATTACTTTGCATGCAAGTCAGGGATTACACGGTAGCTTTTCAACCTCCCTTCCGATCGCTCACTTTTTGTATTTTCGCCCTCCCTCCTGTTCCCTCCTCTCCCTCTTCATGTGTTCTGTCTCGTGTCTTGTTACCATGACTTGCTCCACGGAGCAGCCAGAAAGTCGGCGGGTCATACTGGGATGGGGGAACGATGGAGGGGGAGTTTCATTGGAGCTTATGGAAGTGGAAGAAATGAAGAGAAAGAAAAGGAGGAGGAGAGGGATTCCAACTATGGACTATGTTCAAGACGACAGCGAGATGGCGTACCTGTACGTATCGTGCAGGTGATGAAGAGCTTTCAAGTATGATGTCATGCGACGAGCTGTCTCGATGCCCTACACAAGTTCTTCTGCTCGTATTGATGAATTGCAATGCGATGACAGTGAGTGCTGGAGCTGTGACAAATACGTGAATTCGACATATTGTGGGATGAACCACATACATTTTCAGCCCCATACATTACATCATTCGATTCATTGCATGATTTCCATTTGATGTGTTGACGTTCTATCAGTCTGGAGCAGTTCATCTTCTTCAAGACCGTTGTTTCAGCCTGTGTTCAGAAATCAGGAGGAAACTTTCGATCCGCGCTCATTTATGTCACTCGACCAGAGACGGAAGAAAGGTCCTATCCCTCCTCTGCTGTTGCCCTCACCCCCCTCCCCCCCCTCCTCCTCTACCACTATTGCTCCTGCTCCTCTCATTCTTGCTCCTACTCCCACACCTCCTATCCTTGCTCCTGCTCCTGCCTCTGAGTAGGTCAGGACGAGAACTTGTATGCGAACATGACAGGACTGTCACGAAGTTCTTTGCTTGACATCTGCTCGAACTGCAGGAGGCTGGTAGAAGTGATGGTCCTGAGAGACCCAGATGAGCACGAGATTTGCTTCATGGCGCATGAGGACTACTTCGAAGCTTTTAGAAATGAAGCGTGTGTGGATATGGTACTGCTGATGATGCTGGGAATGATGGAATTGGTTACGATCAAAATGATGATTCTGCTGCTGCTGCTGCTGCTGCTGCTGCTGCTGATTCATCATCATCATCATCATCATCATCATCATGGCAAGACGGAGGAAGAGGAGGAGAAGAGGGTTGGAATGGATGATGCTGATGCTGATGCTGACATCGACGACAACGACGACGTCTGTGATAACATCTTTTTTGTCAGACTGGAGGATCACTCACTCTCACAGTCTCCAACCTAACACGCAGGTAAATTTCTCGACCCCCTCGTTTAGTTCCCCATGACTTGAAACATCCGACCCTTTCCTTCCATCTGCCCTGCTTTCCTCTCCGTACTCCTCGCCTCGTCTCTCCTTGCCTCACCGTTTCCCCCCTCTTTCTTCTCGCCTTCTGGCTCCCTCCTTGTGTGTTCTCCTACCTTGAGCTTCATCAGCATGTGATCTTGAAAGCAGGTGGGCGAGAGAGAGAGAGATGGCGATGCCTGACGACGACGGGCAACCGAGGAGAGGCTATGGATTCAGCGACTGCCAGGTGAAAAGGGAATGAGAGACAGGTTTCTAGTGGGCAGAACAGAAAACACGGGGAGGGCGGTCAGACGAAAAGTTGAGATGATGAGCAAGAGTATGATGATGATGATGATGGTAGTGAGGAGGAGCAGGAGCAGGAGCAGGAGCGGGACAAAGAAGAAGGACGAGGACGAGGACGAGAAGAGGAGGAGGAGGAGGAGGGGATTTGTGGCCAGATGCTGAGATGTTGTCGCTTATGATGTGGCATGCCGGTCTATCATAACCGTGATCATCAACACCACCACCACCACTACCACCACCATCAACAACAACAACTACACCAACACCAATATCATCACAAACATCATCATCAGCAGCATCAGCAGCATCAGCATCATCCATCATGCATCAACACGATATGATGCGATATTAAAAGAATACGTTGAAAGTTTTCACAACTCTGATACGGAGAACAGGATGATCAGCGGCTCTTCAATCTCCTTGCTAGGGTTTCAACTTCTGACCTCGGGAAACTTTGAAACTTTTGACTTTGCAGTTTTTAGAAAGTTCAAGACTTCTGGGACCAGGGAGTCCCGACAGACATCAACTTCACTCGAAGTACCTGCAACATCTCAGACGATGCCTTCAAGCTGCTCTCCGAGCCCCGACCTACTGCCCCTCCTCGACCCTTGTCGGCTGCCGGTAGTCATAGTAGTCACGATCATCTGCATCATCATCTGTATCATCATCCTCGTCGTCGTCACCACCATCATCATCATCACCACCACCACCACCACCATCACCACCATCACCATCATCTGTTGCTGCGGCGTCTGCATCAGCAGCATCAGGATCACAAACAAGTGTATCGTTTCCATCGCCATTCATTCTCTATTCAATCCGATGTTGGATATTGCTTCAGTGATCATGCATGACATCATTTTCCTTTTGATTCATGTTTCTGCATCATTGCAGTAGTGTCGTTGTTCGTTATTGTAGTAGTATCGTTGTAATCGTGCACGTTAGCTCTATCTTTCTCACTTCAATCTCCACCACCATCACCAGCCTTGCGCTTCACTCACTTCAGCTGCAGAGAGGAGACAGGAAGTGGTGGACCGGAGCCTCGCCAAAGAGCTCGCAGAGGAGTCTGATCATACTTCCGACGTGTCATGTGACCTTGATATCTTACACATTGTCTCCTGACGTGATGCAGTTGAGGGGCCTCAGCCGAATGGTGAGACCTCATGGATGATTTGTTGAGCAAGACAAGTCAAAGTTGCAAGCTGAGAGTAGATCTCCAGAGGATTGGAGCGCAAGTGCTGAGCAGGAGGAAGAAGAGAAGGGTGGGGCAGAAGGCTACTTCAACAAGACAGAGTCGATGTTCAAGAGGGATCGAGATCAGTTCTTGCAGCAGAATGCCAAGTACGACCAGGTGAGGGGCAGAGGCTCGTTGTGAACGGGCTGCTGACGTCATTGCAGTACAACCAAAGTGGGTTGGTGAGTGAGGAGATAGAAGTGAACATGGACGAGGAGATCAGCGATTCGTCTGTGCCGGATGTCAACCAGTTCAAGGACGGGCTGTCAATGGTAGCAACCCCCTCGCTGCCTCCGTGTCCTGACGGCCCCGGCAGAATCAAACGGTCGCAGACTTTGACGCGAGTCGTGTGGGGACTAGAGACCACTGGAAAGATGTGTACGAGAACGAGCTGAGCAACTTCCATGCTACAGGTAGCGGCCCAGGCTTCCGAGAGGGGAGGACGGAGACAGATGATGGAGAAGGAGGAGACAATGGGCGGGGGAGAGCGAAAAGAAGAGAGAAGAAGCAAGATAAACAGTAGGAGGAAGGAGGCGTGATGGCATAGCACGGAAGGAGGAGGAGGAGGAGGTAGTGGATGGACAGGGAAAGAAGAATGCTTTTGGCTATCCTCAACTTGTTTCAAGGTGATCCTGGAGAATGCTGGTTTGAGGAAGAGAGCAAATGCATGCAGAGAGTCTCCTGGAAATCTCCTCCCTCCCTCGACCTTCGCCCCCCCCCCCCCCCCCCCCACCCTCCTCCTCCTCCTCCTCTCCTCAACCTCAACCTCTTCAAGATCTCGTCTTGATTGCCCATCGTCGCGTCAGTTCTATGCCTCGATCATGCTTTCCTCTCTCCTCCCTCTATCCCTTCCTCTTGTTTTGTTGACCTCTGACTCTCAACTCTCTTGTTTCTTACTTCCTCCCAGCCCTCAGTCCTTCACCCCTCCTACTTTGATTTCCTCCCGTGCTGAATCATCTTCAAACGGCATCTTCTTCCCCTCCCCCTCCTCCCTCTCCTCTCCTCCCCTCCTACCCTCCTACCCTCCTCGCTTTCCCGCCTCTCCTCTCTTTCCCTCCCCCCCCTTTCTCTCCTCCTCTTCCCTCCTTCCCTCCTCTTTCTGCTCATCATTCCTTAGCTTTTTCTTTACCTGCTCCTGACTTTCCCTTTCCAGGTGGGTCCGCAACGAGTTCTTCACGGAATCCTACAAGACTGCGAGGATCCTCGACGTTGGTACAGGGAACGGGATGATGCTGATCGAGCTTGCCAAGTGATACCTCGCTCCCCTCTCTCAACAAAGCACGCTGTCCTCTTCCTCCTCGTCCTTGCAATCGACATCTGAATCTTGTTTGTGGTTGCATTCCTTTTCGTCGCTGTCACCATCATCACCACCACCACTACCACCACCACCACTACCACCACCAGAATCACCATCACCACCACCATCACCACCACCATCATCATCATCATCATCATCATGTCATTCTCCTTTATTTCTTATACTGTGCCTTCATCTACACCACCATTTGTTTTTCCATCATCATCACCTCCACCATTTTTTCATGTCGATACTGTTCCTCTCCGCTTCATCGTCAACTTTGTTTTCTACCACAACATCATCGCTCCTCCTTCAATCTCTCGTAACCATTCTATGTTCCTTTACATCCCTGCCGCTGTACCAGTACGTCGATCCTCCTCACCTGCTTTCTCAAGTCCTGCCCTCTTTCTCCATTCTCCCACTCCGTTCCTCCCCTCCAGGCTCTTCGTCTGAATGTTTTGAGCAGGTTCGGATTCCGCAGGCTGACTGGAGTGGACTACATACCGCAAGCTGTACGTCCACGAGATCGAGGGAGGGGGAGGGGGGGGGGCAAGCGGGAGGCAGGAGGCAGGAAGGAGTGAAAAGGTGGGAGAGGGGAAGGGGGAGGGTCATGAAAGGGAGGAGAAGGGAGCAAAGTCGGAGGCTGGAAAGAGGAGGTTGGAAGCGAGGGGAGGAGGGAACAGGGAGGAAGGGAGAAATTCATAAGATGTGGTTACAGGTGGAGCTAGCTAAGAACAATATCAAGGCGTCCAAGGAGGAAGGTGGACCTCTGTATGGCATGCCTGACTTGAAGTGAGATCGATGCCACTGCTCTCTAGCTGAACTGATTTATCTCTCCTCCTCCTCCTCCTCCTCCTCCTCCTCCTCCTCCTCCTCCTTGTTTCCCTCCTCCTCGTTTCCTTCCTCCTTTCTTTCCTCTCTCTCCCTCCCTGCCTCCCTCCCTCCCTCCCTCCCTCCCTGCCTCCCTGCCTCCCTCCCTCCCTCCCTCCCTGCCCTGCCCTGCCCTGCCGATTTCTTCTCCTCTCCGTCCCACCTCTATCCGCCAGTGACCTGCACGTTGAGATATTCGTCGACGATCTTCTTCACTCGAACCTTCCTGACGAATCTTTCGACGTCATTCATGACAAAGTTGCCCACATGCTACTCCCTCTTCCCTCCTTCCTGCATTGTCCGATTTCTTCTTCTCTCTCTCCTCCACTTTCCTCCTTCGCTTCTTCCTTCCTGTTCATCTTCTCCCCCCTCCTATCTTCTTCCTCTTCCTTCTCCCTACTGGGCTATCCTTCTCCATCTCTCTTCCTCGCCTTCCTCACCCATCGCAGGGGACCTTGGACGCCATCAGCTTGAGCAGCAAGGAGCATGTCAGCGCTTACCTCCTGACATGTGCCAGGCTCACAGTCAAAGGTTCTCCTTGTACCTCGCCTTCGCTCCTCTACGCCATGAAGCCCTTGTGCTCCCGCACCCTCATCGTCATACCTCCCTCCCTCCCTCCCTCCCTCCCTTCCTCTCATGCTCTGCTCTTTCCCCTCATGCCTTCATCAGGAGGTCTCCTCGTGTTGACAAGCTGCAACTTTGCTGGGGAGGAGCTGGAACATCTGCTGGAGGAGACGAAGAGGTTCAAGCGAGCTGGGGGGCTTTCATACCCGACCATCGAGTTCGGAGGGAGACGAGGGTCGAGAGTGGTGTCGCAAGCGTACAGAAGGATCTGAGCGAGTGAAGTGAGAGGAGGAGAGCAAGAGACGAACAGGTGTTTCATTGTACATGTGAGCTAGAATACATGACAGCATAAGGCTGTCCCCCGTGAACCAGACTAGGTCACGTGAGCCTCACTCCAGATGGCAAGCTGATCGCTCGATGGTGCTTGAGGGAGACGTTCTTGTAAGTGTACAAGTCCTTCGTGATCTTGAGCTGCAGGCAGGACCATAAGAGATTGCAACGCTGCACTGTCAGACTTACAGTCTCTATCTTCCCTCTGATCCTCATCTTCCTTTCCTCCACCTTGTCCAGCAAGTCTGCAACAAGGCTCGGTCAGCTCTCATGCAGCCCGCCATGCACGGAGGGGACTCACCGAGAACGCTGGTGGCAAGGGAGTGCTTGAAGAAATGCTGGATCATGTTGCACTCGTCCATCTCTGATTGCAGCTTCTTGAGGGAGGCCTCCACTCGAATGATCTCCTCCGCATCCAAGTGCTTGTTTGACTTTCTGCTCATCCTGCAGGACCTCTTCCCGCCTTCCCTCCTCCTTTCCTTTTTTCCCCGCGTGCAGCGCGACGGTAATCTGATGCTTGATGGCCTCGCTGCTCGCAGTGAAAGCAGCGAGCTTCTGTGCGCTCTCGGCTAGAGCAGACCTGACTTGTTGCCGGTCCTTGGACGGGTCGCCTTCTTTGCCGGTTGCTGCCGTCCCGGTGGAATCTTCTCTCCTGCGCACTCTGCGCATGTCCAGGCTTGTGCTTCCGGCCTATCTTGAGAGACAGGCTGTGGTGAACGCATGGAAGTGTCGATGCTCAGCAGAGCTGCAAGACTGGGCTCGTCACGTTGAGTCTCATAGGATGCATTAAGGAGCGACTGACTGATATGCGACCCGTCGTATGACGCGGTCATGGAGGAATTCTAATCCACCAGGCAGGAGCTGAAGGAGCTCCTTGAGTACCTCTGTCCGTGCGTTGTATGTGGCAAATGATTGGCTGGGCTCCTGTTGGCCGCGACAACCGTTGTGATGCTATGCAACTGGACGTGTGGTTATGGTCTGAGTTTTATGAGGATATTTGAGGGAGTTGTAGGTGCGATGAGGAGGATCTGTCAATGCATTATTTGAATGTAGGAGATCAGCCAGAGAAGATTTGAAGATTTTCATGAAACACAAGTCAGGGAACTCAAAGAGAAAGTCAACTATGTTTTGAATACAAACACAGTACATAGTATCTTTCTTATTGATTGTTTTATCAACTCAACAATTCACTAACAGCAAGCTTGAATTCATGACAAAAAGCTTAACGGCAGGTATAGTCTGAGTCAAACATTGCGTATGCGAATTTTCCATACTCCTTGAAGATGTACTCATGCTTGCCTGAGACCGGATTCTTCTGTCGCGAGCAGTAGTTTTGCTCTGTGGGATAGACAGGAAAATTCCAGGTCTTGGAGGTCCACAAGAAGTTCACGTTGGCTTCAACTTCATAGCGATGACCGATCTTCATGTTTTGTCCTGACCTCTGCCTCGAGCCACATCTGAATCCGAGGTAAGCTGATCCTGAGAGGATCAGCTCTGCCGAAGCAAAGTACGGCCCCACGCGCAGAGAAGACCAACCAGTGATGAGAGGGTTCGAGCTGAATCCTCCGACCGAGCACGTGAAGTACTCCTGCTTACTAACAGCGCTTCTCACAGACATGCCTGCGCTCAGAACTGCACAGAAGTTTGCGAGGGCGCTCGGCAATCTCATGGGAGGGCATCTACAGATGTTGACGCTGACCAAGATGCTTCCAGAAGCAATCATGTATGGCCGCCGCGAGTTGAGCCCGCGGATTTCTAGGTCAATGTCCCCGGCAAAGGAGGGGCAACCGAATCCGATCTCCGCCTTCATGTACAGGGCGATGTTGTCCAGACATGCCTCCAAGACCAACTCGAGGCCTATGGATCCAGGTACAACTCTCTTGCGCGGGGACTTCTTGGCGTCGCTGATGCTTTTGTACGGGCCAATGATCTGCCCTGAGATTCCTAGCGAGGCGCACACCGATCTCAGAGAAGCGTTGTGACTCTGTGAAAGTAAGTCTCCTTCAGCAACCTTTGAACGAAGTTGCTCGTGAGTCAAGATCTCCCAAGCGTCTTCTCTCTCGTCGTCTCCATGACCTTTGTCGTACAAGAGTCTTCGGGACGAGTTTGAATCGATCAAAAAGGACGAGGTTTCGTTGGAGGTCATCGTCGAGTTCTTGTCAATGGCTTGTCCCCAACTAGGATCTGGAAGCATGATGTCAGAGACTGATCCCTCCACGAGCTTGACAGGCGGAGTGAGATCATTCGAGACGCATGCTTTCAGAGCCACTTCCATGTCTAGCTCGTCAAAGGGAATTGGGTTGTAGTCTTCCGTTTCGATCGGTTTCAAGTCTTCGAATCTCCACCGAAGGTTTCCGCGCACGAACTGATACAGTCTCTTCTTGTAGTAGTCTTCGTAGACCTGGAAGGTTTCGGTCTTACCATCTTGATTCGCTTGGATTTCGAAATGTTTGCAATAAACTTCATTCACTGATTGGAACCCATGGAAAACAACCTTGAAGTCAGATGCTGTAGAAGGATCTACGAGGGTGTTAGGGATTGACAATCCTGATGATGTGCTTTGACTCTGTGAACTTGAACCAACTTGATAACTTGCGTTGACAAGCAAACAGGAACCTCAACACAACCGCGCTCACTGAACGTATAGAAAGTTCGGATCCATTTTATTCGACCAAAACCTACCAAACCAACCAAACCGACCGGATAAGACAGCTAGTTGACTGAAGTATTCGTAACCGCTTACGTAACCCCTAACATACGCTCCCAAGCGCATTATCATCTGAGAAACATCTCTATGAACTTCGCTGATCATTAAGATACTGCATAACAAGAAAACGGCAGCCAACTCAAGTCATTTCAATTGAGTAGCGCGAAGTGCATTAGGCCAATGTTATTCACGTAAGTCCTGCTCATCCTGAGTCGAAGATGAATGCTGAGAATCTTCGTCGGTATCCACCGCTGACTCATCATCGTACGAAACCTCATGATGCGTTGATCTGTCATTCCTATACGCACCGGTTGTCAAATCCATGGACTTAGCTTCTCGATACAATGCTGGTAACAAACTCCCAATACTCAAAGTCTTGTTCACATTTTGCTTTTCCAAGTCAATCAACAACCTCATGACGAAACTCGCGGTCACCTCATTGAACAAATTCTGTGCGAAATACCGTTCAAGACCAAACCTCGTGCAAGCTGTCTCGACTTGTCCTTGTTCATGAAATAATACCATGCAACAAGCAATAAAATGATTTGCTAAAGCTGAAAACCTGTTGACAAAATCCGAAGTCTTTTCCTCTGACCCTTGTATCGTACATTGAATCTCACCCAAAATATACTGCAAGTGCGACAACGACAAATACTCCTTCACCAGCAACGATTTGAATGATTCCCAAGTACCTTGTGTGGAAATTAATCTATCCTCGCCACGCAATGTTTGCAACCAATTCCTCACACGATTACCAACTAATGTTGCAGCAATGTCAACCTTTTGATCTGGAGGGATTCTTTGACGCTGGAATTGAAACTCAAGCTCCCCAAACCAACTTGCCACGGAATATTCTAGAGTCATTTCTCCATTAAATCGAGAAATATCCTTGGAATGAAACTTCACAAGGGAAGACTGCTGCTTGACATGTTGATTTGACATGTCGTTCGACATGCTCGTATCATTTTGCTTGCATGTTGCATCAGCCCCTCTTGGTTCCTTGATCGGAAGGTATTGAACTGCTCCTGATTCATTTAATCTGAATCGTTGCATCATTTCCTCGAACATTTTTTTATTTTCTTCCCTAAGGACAGAGATTTCCTGTTTTGTCTCGACGAGCTCTCTTTCCTTACGAAACATCACTTCCTTGACGAAAGCTTCATACTTTACTTGCATGTCCATTGCGAGTTGCAATTCTTCTCGCAACTTCTTGTTTGCAGCGACCAATTCTTCAAACTGCACTGATTCGAACCTCGGCCGGGTCGAACATGCCGGAGACGCAATCCTGGAAATTTCCAAGTCTACTGCGCCCTCCCTGTCGCGCACTTGTTGCGTGACCGATCCATCATAAGAAGGTATATTAATCCTCGAAAATCCCGCGACGTCTCGCTGATTTCCGTTCGGATCCTCTTCTGAGGTAGAAGGTACCGTCGTAACTTCCCTCATCGTCTTGTCTTCAGACGTTTCCTCATCGAAACTCCTTCTGAAGTTGTCAAGCATGACTGCCAAGCCTGAACTTCCAAGAGGACCATCTCCAGGAGACCTTCTTATCCTTTCTACATCCGATTGCATGTCCAGAGGTTACCTTTCAAGCTCCTTTTCGATCAAGTCAAATCAAATTGTCGCAATCCGCAATTACTTCAAACAAAAACCAAACCTTACGCTACCAATGTTAGGGTTTGACAATCCTGATGATGTGCTTTGACTCTGTGAACTTGAACCAACTTGATAACTTGCGTTGACAAGCAAACAGGAACCTCAACACAACCGCGCTCACTGAACGTATAGAAAGTTCGGATCCATTTTATTCGACCAAAACCTACCAAACCAACCAAACCGACCGGATAAGACAGCTAGTTGACTGAAGTATTCGTAACCGCTTACGTAACCCCTAACTCTTCTATTGCTGACAACTTTCTTGAGGGATTGATCTTCGCTGAGCTCGCAAAAGTATGGCTTGCCTCTGAATGTTTGGTATTTCAATCTGTGTGTTTCATTCTGAATCTTTACAAGCTGTTGTTCAGGCCACTGTGCCTTCGATTGAATCGTCTTGGCCCAGTGCCTTCCATTATACAGCAAACTGTACTGCTCTTCTTCTAATCGTAGTCCATTCCTGTTGAAATCTTCTTTCGTTACCCAGTTCACGGTCTTGCCCGCACCTGTCTCGCAAGAATACGTTGACATCCCTGTTTCGTCTTCACAAAATTCCACCTCAACGACATGCGCCATGTACTGCATGGGAGGAGATGCTGGTAGCTCGTTTGGCAGGTCATGCTCCGTCTTGTCTCTCGGACTGATCGCTTTCTTGATCAGATTGAACATTCCAAGGATTTCAACCACGCCGAGCAAGCGCCTGCCGCGTGCATCGATCTTGAAGCCGGCCCGGGAGAACGCTCCCTCGAGTTTTTCGTGGAAGAAGATGGCTTCACCATCTAGAGTGATTTCTCCAAGATGCGTATAGATGACAACAACACTTCCATACCTGCTCCAGACCTCTTCGTACCTCGCAAGAGCGAAGATTTGAAGGTGCAGAAAAGACTGTCCCTGAACAATTTTCATTGATTTCAGTTCTGCCAATTGCTCATCATCCAAAAGAGAAGTCAACTTAGCAAGACTGGTAGATTGAGCAGTCATAATCGGGCTTGCAGGGCAGGTGCCGTTGGAGCAAGACATGTTGAGCATCGTGCGAGATGTCAGAGTCCCATTCCTGACGTCAAACTCTGTCGAAGCAACACGGACAGGCTCGCTTGTTCCCCTCACTGTAAGAACTCCTCCAGCTTTTACTTCGCTTTCCTTTGTAATCTGAATGACTGAATACGTCAAGCCAAACACTGAGGCTAACATGATCAAGGAAAGCGCTCCAAGTGCGATGAGAAAGTTTCGATACATCTTCGACTTGTACTGTTCTCTTTTCAATGTCGCAAGCCCAGCCAGTATCTCATCTGTGTCAAGAGCACCATCTCCGTTGGTGTCGAGCATCTTCAGCTGCTGCTGAGCACTGGAGGGAAATGCATCGAAGGGAATCTGCCCATTCATCTGCATTTGCAAAAACCGGCTGTGGAGCTCGAGGGCAGTGGCAACTTGCTGCACGTCCACCATGCCCTCGCCATCTGTCTCATGCATGACACTTTGGGTTTTCGCTATGATCTCCTGGATTCGAACCGGCAAGGCTGAGAAAGGTATCTTCCCTGCATCCAGACACTGCAGCACGTTGGAGATCTCCTCAATCTCCTTGCGATCTAGCGTTCCATCCTGGTTCTTGTCAAAGCGCCGCAGAGCCTGCGCTAGCCTCGGAGGAAGCAACTCAAGTGGAAGACTCTTTATGTCGTCTTCTTGCGCATCTTCCTGCATATCTTCCCGCACATCTGCGATCTGCACGTCCACCGTGACCAGGTCGGCTGTCGCCATTGCAAGCGTCAGGTTCCCCAACTCTTGCTCCCCACAACTGCTACCCCTACCCCTGTCCCTACCACGTACAGGGACCCCCATCTGCTGTAAACCCCCATGCTGTACCCGGTAGTAACCCAGCTATTGCTAGCGTCAGGTCAAGTTCCCCAACTCTTCCCCAGCCTGTACCCCTCCTCCCTCCCCCCCTTTTTTTATTTTACTGCCATAGTGCACCTACGGTCATTACCCCTAAGTTAACCCTTCGAGCAACTGGTAGCAGTACAGATACGGACCCACCCCTGCTCGTGCATTGCCGGAGAATTAGACCACTAGATATAAGGGTCCTTAACGGCTAGTGACGTAGGGGGTTACCTCTACAACTTGAACCAATAATAATGCCCCCGTTCTGACACGCGTGCGGCACCACTGAAAAGTCCGCCGGCCCCGGGCCCCCGATACCGATCTCAGCCGCCAGGATCTTGTCATACTCCCGGGCGGCCAGCCGGCCGGGCATGGAGCTTCTTTCAATGAAAATGAAGCTTTTGTTAGCGTAAAGCAGCCGGGAAAGAGCAGGAAACACAGATCATTCAATGCTTTCCCTTCAATCAATCATTTCTCCCACATCACGAAGCCGGCCTGCATATTATCGGGGTGTTCGAGGAAGCACACTTTTTGTTCCGCTTTTTCTTTTTCGTCTCGTTCGAAGTTTTGAGAAAAATTCGCATTGAAAAGAGAAGCTCGATCTGGTCTCAAGCACACTCAGACAAAACCCACGGTCACTCATCACATAGAACTCGTTAAAAGACAGGAGTTTATGCCTCAAACTTCGCGTAAAAGCAAACCTAAAGATATAATTAAAGAAGAGAAGGTGATAGTATCGAGAAATGAAGAGAATTTCAAAGAGACATTGAAAAACGAGATCAACCGTATCTATAGCTTTACAGATGAAGATGAGATTCGAAATGTTCATTCATCCAATCCAGAAAAGAAAAACCCTGTAAGATAGTAACCGAGGCTACGGGCATTTATTTCTGTTTAGCTTTGTTAAAATGGAAGAGCATATAACTAATCAACCAAACAATCATCATGACAAAGAAAAGCAGCACAGAACACACGGACAGGGAGATGATAAGCAAGAAGATAAGGATGACGATAATGAGGACGATGATGATGATAATGATCATAATGATGACCCCCATCTCTCTTCCTCACCTTCCTCACCCATCGCAGGGGACCTTGGACGCCATCAGCTTGAGCAGCAAGGAGCATGTCAGCGCTTACCTCCTGACATGTGCCAGGCTCACAGTCAAAGATTCTCCTTGTACCTCGCCTTCGCTCCTCTACGCCATGAAGCCCTTGGGCGGCTCCCGTACCCTCCTCGTCATACCTCCCTCCCTCCCTCCCTCCCTCCCTCCCTCCCTCCCTCCCTCCCTTCCTCTCATGCTCTGCTCTTTCCCCTCATGCCTTCATCAGGAGGTCTCCTCGTGTTGACAAGCTGCAACTTTGCTGGGGAGGAGCTGGAACATCTGCTGGAGGAGACGAAGAGGTTCAAGCGAGCTGGGGGGCTTTCATACCCGACCATCGAGTTCGGAGGGAGACGAGGGTCGAGAGTGGTGTCGCAAGCGTACAGAAGGATCTGAGCGAGTGAAGTGAGAGGAGGAGAGCAAGAGACGAACAGGTGTTTCATTGTACATGTGAGCTAGAATACATGACAGCATAAGGCTGTCCCCCGTGAACCAGACTAGGTCACGTGAGCCTCACTCCAGATGGCAAGCTGATCGCTCGATGGTGCTTGAGGGAGACGTTCTTGTAAGTGTACAAGTCCTTGGTGATCTTGAGCTGCAGGCAGGACCATAAGAGATTGCAACGCTGCACTGTCAGACTTACAGTCTCTATCTTCCCTCTGATCCTCATCTTCCTTTCCTCCACCTTGTCCAGCAAGTCTGCAACAAGGCTCGGTCAGCTCTCATGCAGCCCGCCATGCACGGAGGGGACTCACCGAGAACGCTGGTGGCAAGGGAGTGCTTGAAGAAATGCTGGATCATGTTGCACTCGTCCATCTCTGATTGCAGCTTCTTGAGGGAGGCCTCCACTCGAATGATCTCCTCCGCATCCAAGTGCTTGTTTGACTTTCTGCTCATCCTGCAGGAACAATCAAAAATTCCGACAGGCTCCCTTCCAAACGCTCTCTGAGTGCCTTTCCCTCTTGTGCTTCTAAATCTTTTTCACTTCTTCTCTCCTTCCCTCCTTTCCTTGCTCCTTTCCTCGCTCCTTCTCTGCTCTCTCCTGCTTCTCTTCTCTGTTTCTCTGCTTCTCTGCTTCTCTGTTTCTCTGTTTCTCTGCTTCTCTGTTTCTCTGCTTCTCTGTTTCTCTGCTTCTCTTCTCTGCTTCTTCTGCTTCTCTGCTTCTTTCCTCCTCCTCTGCGTCTTTCAGTCCTTCTGTTTCTCTTCCTCTTCTCGCAGCTTCGTAGATCGTTTTCCGTCGGGATCTTCCCTTTTACGTTCTTCCGCCCCACCCCACCCCACTACTGTTTCCTTCCGCTTGTCGGCAACCCACCCACCAGTACGGCTTCAATCAACAATTTTACCGAGGTATACTACCCCTACCCCCATTTCCTGTTGCTTGGCTAGGAATGAGCCCCCGTACTTTCTCTGCTTACCTTTTTCAGAGTCAGATCAATACACAGCAGGACCCCTTCTTTGCATGACCCACCCCTTTATTCCCCTACTTTGAGTTCCCCGACTCCCAGAGAAGTTTACCCCTTGATGTACCCCTACCCCCTTCAAGGCTTCACATCAGGTACAGGACCGGGTGAAGTCGGACATTTGACTCGGTCGCTCTTTTTTTTTCCGGCGGATGACTCGCCCGGAGTAAACTGGCGGCCGGTGGATGACTGAAAGTCTCATGGCCGCATTGAAGGAAAATTGAGTCAAGAAGTAGTAGTGGCAGCGGTAGATGCCTAACGGTCCGGCATCTTTGGTCAGTCTTTGCTCAAAGTTAAGCTAACGGTAGAGGTTTTGCATCCCGGCTTTTACCGTACTCAAACTTGGTACTTCCACTCCGGCCCGGCAGTGGCCCCGGCTCAGCGCCGGGCCTCAGGCCGACGGTCCTTGAAAAACTGAACTTAAAATGCTTGCCAACGAACTTAAACTGAGGCGAAGGCTCAGGCTTGAAGGCTTGCCGCTCACGGTTCAGCCGGCGCCGCCGGGCCCGGCCCGGCCCCGGGCCGTACCGTGAGTGAAGTCCTGTCCGCGGCGCCGGGCCGGGAACTTCGGAACGGCGGAAATGATGCCAAGGAAAGTTACCGTAGTAAAGCAATGAGTTAGGACTCCGAAGTGAATAACCGTAAGCGGCCAATCCTCACATCACATTCACTGTCATGACTCTTGCAAGGTGCCAGCTGAGCTGACGGACACTGTCATATACAACAGTGCCACGGTGACTCTATTGGGTTCGAATGTAGGCCCGGGCTGCCGGGTACATCAGTCAAGGTAGTTTTTCAACCGTAATGCATTTCGGAGAGCTTCCAAGTTCACCGCTTCACCTTCAGTGTGGAACGCCTAAAACCAACCCTCAACCTGCCTGGTTTCAAGTAAGGCCTTATGCCTGGTTTAAACTTAACTTACCCCCGGTGGAGTGAGACGCATACCGGAACGCCCCACGATGATGCGGCAGCGAAGCATAGGGTGGCCTCGAGCTGATGGAAGATCCTGGACAAGTCGGATGAGAGGCAGTCGAAAAAAATCCGGGCAGTGTAGCGCTATGGGAGGATGTGATGAAGAAACGAGCACAGGAATTGCAAGAACTCGGAATAAAACCCAACCATAAGTGCTGCGTGACAGCTGATCGAGACAGGTGTTGGCGAAAACTACAACAAATATCAAACCAACATGTGAAATGCGAAGGCTGAAGAGCTTTAAGACACAACTGAATGCATACCAGACTTTTAATGATTGTAATTCTAAACAAAAATCAGAAGGGCTCAGGAACCTCAAGAGAAGAAACATTCAAAAACACATCAAAACTGAATCACAGTCGCACGACAACTAGCAAAGAAAATCCCTTTTCAAGGCTTCACCGCTTCCCCTTGTGGAACACCTGCAGGATTGTCCCGAAGATCAGCTGCAGACCCAGCGCATACCCCGCAAGCACTACAAGATCCTTCCACACAGGCTTGTCCTCCATGTTGTAGAACTTCAGCACCGCCTTCCCGTCCGCAAACTGCGGGCTGTTGACAAAGTACTTGATGCCCTCAAACTCGTTTACCATGAACGCCCTGAAAGAGTAGGTGTGGAACGCGATGTAGTACCCCCAGATGAAGTAGTCCGGGATGTCGTCCTTGATCTTCATGAAGCCCTCGCACAACATGAAGAAGCCGTACACCGCTGCCCCCAGCGCGATCCCGATGATGTAGTGAGGCACCACCGACGCCACCACGCACATGAACGCCTCCGCTGCTACCAGCGACAGGAAAAGATCCACCAGGAACACCCCAAACCCGTTGAGCCCCGACGGCAGCACCACCAGCAACGTGCTCACCAGCGAGATGATGAAGAGCCCCGGCAACGACATGAGGAACGTCGCCAGCACGTAGGCCGGCACCATGTACCAGCCGTTGGCTCGCTCGCGTAGGAACACAGCTCGCTCCACGATGAAGAAGGGCAGCACCGCCACCGACATGAACACCAGGAAAGCCGCGACGTAGAAGAGCATGGTGATGCGACTGTTGATGTCCGACGGCCCCAGCTGGAGGTCCCAGAACATGAAGCCGATCATAGCGCAGAGCATGATGTACATGATGAGGCGGACGAGGAAGATACCCGGGTTACGCGCGTTGTTGAAGAAGGCTCGGTGCGACAGAATCATCAGCTGCACCAGGAACCCGTTGGTCTTCTTGTGCGGGTGCACCTGGTGGTCGATGGGCCTGGTCAGCCCCGTCGCGAGCGCCATGCCCTCGGGCTGGGTCTTGAAGCCTGTCGAGAGCGCCTCGATGTCCGCGTGACCCTCGAAGTCCGTGTTGGCCAGCCTCAGGAAGAAGTCTGCCGGGTTCGAAAGCCCCGGGCAGGGATACCCCATCCGTCCAAAGTAGTCCACAGAGTCGCTTGCCGCCCCGAAGTAGAGGCACTTGCCCTGCGACAGCAGACAGAATTTGTCGAAGTTCGCCCACACCTCTGACGGAGGCTGGTGGATAGTGCACACCACCGTCGTCCCCATCTTGGCCAGGTGCGACAAGTGGCCCATGATGTTCTCTGCCGCCGCCGAGTCGAGGCCTGACGTCGGCTCGTCCAGCAGTAGGATGGAGGGGTTCCGCACCAGCTCCACCGCGATCGACAGGCGGCGGAGCTGCCCTCCGCTCAGCCCCTTGCGGAACACGTCTCCTACGATCGTGTTGGTGCACGAGTCCAGCCCCAGCACATGGATCACGTTCTCCGCCCGCATCCTCCGCTCCTCCCTTGTGCTCTCCGAGTGCGGGATGAGCAGGTCCGCCGCGTACGCCATCGTCTCCTTGACCGTGAAGGGCGTCTGCAGCGCGTACTCCTGCTGCACGTACGACGCCACCATGCTGAACGTGTCGTCTCGCACCTTGCCATTGACCAGCACGTCGCCGGAGAACTTCCTGCCCTTGCGGTTGGGGTCGATCCTCCCGGCGATGGCGTCGAGCAGGGTGGTCTTGCCGCCTCCCGAGGGCCCGCAGATGGCGAGCATCTCCCCGGGCCGGACGATGCCGGAGATGCTATCGAGGATGCGCTTGTCGATGACCTCGCTCTGACCGGTCTGAGGGTTCTTACGGCTCACGCGGACGTCGTAGGTGAGGTCCTTCCACGAGAGGGTGACGGGGTTGATGTGGAGGGCCTTGTATGCGAGGGAGTTGGCGGAGGAGGCGCCTCTCAACCTGAAGGAACAAGGTAAGCTCACCGTACAAGTCGGGAGCAAGCTACTTACAGGTTGTTGCGATGTACCTCCTGCATCTGGGCATGTATCGCTTCCCTCTGTTCGATACCATGGAGCATCTCCCTCGGATGGTCGATGCTGAGCGCCACTAGATCAGAAGCTCCTGCTGCTCCCAGCATGTCTCAGGTCGTGCTAGGGTTTCTTCCTCCTTGCACCCCTCGACCCATCGACTTTTTCATTTTTTTTATCAAAAACTTGAGAGCTGCCTCAGGACTCCATCGGGGGCAGCAATCATAAATAGAGTGATGAATAGTAGATCATACTCGGTGTCTTTCTCTACCATGCTACACCTGGCAAACAAGTTAATTTTGTCACAGACAATCACGGACGTGCGGTACTGGACCCACCCCTCGTCAGGTCTAAGAGGGGGTAGGGGGTCATGATATTGTTGCAAACCACCCAATGGACTGCACCCATTCACTCATATGAAACCTTAACTTCTGAAGGGGTGGTATACTGTGCTAAAAGCTCAGGGAAAAGGGGGTGGGGTCCAAGGTCGTTCGTAGCTCGTGAGTGTGTACCCGTCCTTTACCTGCAACGGGGGGGTGGGTATGTACTAGGCAAACGACCTCGTTTACAGGTAAGTTGTTGGTACGGGTTGCCGCAGAAAGTCGCTTCGCAGTTCAAGGGCAGTTGGAAGGAACAGTGTAGATCAAGGTCGAAGGAAAGGAGGGGATACGTAGCGAGGACTGAGACCTTATGCGAGTGTGAGCTGTTGTCCTTGAAGCCCATACACAATTACGACTGCACTGCCTAGCGCTATTTACGCAAGGTCGTCAGAGGGAGGAGATGTACAATTTCATTACTGTAGACAGCAAGTGTGCGTGAAGAGAATCGCACACACAAGGAAACATCCCGTATCTCTGTCTTTGAAGCCCCATTGATCCTTTTGTTTCCCAGGTGAATGATAGTCACACCTACTCCTGTCAGCATCATGACCTCGTCGTCGTCTCCTCCCTCTGTCAACATCTCAGAATCCGATGTTCTTGAGGTCGGGACAAACTTCGGTTCACTGTCGACCCTCCAGTGGGAGCCGATCAGAGCTGAAGTAGCTGTGAGCCACCTCAGCAAGCTCTCTTTGTCCCCTGAGCCCCAGCAGAGGTCGGACAACATCAGCCGATCGGCCTCCATGGCGTCCACCTTGTTAGCGGAGAAGAAAAGCCTTGTCAGCCACATCGAGCAATCGGTGATCGGCGCCGGCATGCCCATTCACACACCATTCGGCCCGCGGAAGCTGACGTATGCCGACTACACAGCATCCGGTCGATCTCTCACCTTCATCGAGGATGCGATCAGGAACACAGTCCTCCCGCACTACGCCAACACGCACACGACTGTGTCGCATACGGGGCGGCAGACCTCCAAGTACCGTGAAGAAGCACGGCACATCATCCTCGAGAGCGTCAACGGGCGCAAAGACAAGGACGTCGTGGTGTTCACAGGCTCCGGCTGCACGGCTGCGATCTACAAGACTGCACAGCTACTGATGCATCGCCAGGACTGGAAAGACTCGGCCGGCACCCCGGAGGCCCCCCTAGTCCTCATCGGGCCGTACGAGCATCACTCCAACATCCTGCCATGGCGCGAGAGCGGCGCAGACGTGGTGGAGGTGCAGCTGAACGCAACGGGCCAGGTGGACTTGGACCATCTCAGGAGAGTCCTGCGGCAGTACCAGAGCCGCCGCATCAAGGTCGGATCTTTCTCGGCTGCCTCCAACGTTACGGGGATCCTGACGGACGTGGAGGCGGTTGCGACTGTTCTTCACGAGCACGGAGCCCTCGCCTTCTTCGACTACGCGGCTGCTGGGCCCTACGTGGACATCGACATGAACCCCTCGAGGCCTCTGGCGTACAAGGACGCTGTCTTCATCTCTCCGCACAAGTTCGTGGGGGGGCCGTCGACCCCCGGGGTCCTCGTGTTCAAAAAGGACTCCCTGTATGAGCCCTGCAAGAATCGTGGAGCTCCGGTCACACCTGCCGGAGGGACCGTCCTGTTCGTATCCAACTTGGAGCATCGGTACCTGGACTCGGTGGAGGAGAGGGAGGAGGGAGGGACGCCGGAGATTGTAGGAGCGATCCGGTGCGGGCTGGTGTTCCGACTGAAGATGGAGGTAGGGCCGAGCACGATTGTGGAGAGAGAGCACCACTACTGGTCTCAAGCCCTTGCTGCCTGGAAGGCGAATAAGAGTATCATCATTCTTGGGGACACGAGCGTCGCGCGACTGAGCATCGTCTCCTTCGTTGTTGCACATGGGAACAAGCTGGTTCATCACAACTTCGTCGCTTCTCTCCTCAACGATCTCTTCGGCGTGCAAGGCCGAGCAGGCTGCTCCTGCGCTGGTCCTTACGCGCAGAAACTGTTCAACATCTCTCCCACGTCCGCGTTGTGCCTAGAGCAGACGGTACTGCAAGGAGAGGAAGGGATCAAGCCGGGCTTTATTCGCATCAATTTCAACTTCTTCATCTCTCCCCACGTGGCTCGCTTCCTCATCGACGCCGTTCTGTTCGTCGCAGAGCACGGGTGGAAGCTGCTGCCCTTCTACAAGCTCGACGTGAACACGGGCGAGTGGCACTACACGGGGAGCGAGAACAAGCTGGTGAAGGAGGCAGCCTCTCTCAGAAACATCTCCTTCTTCACGAGCTACAGCCAGGGAGCTGACAAAGCGCAAGTCCTCACTCCGGAGGAGATCGACAACTACTTCGAGCAGGCCAAGTCCATCGTGAGAGACGCGGAGGCCCTGGTGCAGGCCGGAAGTGTCCAAGGGACGACCTTGGGGTTCCGAAGCCCCGAGGCCGTGTGCACCAGCTGGCTCCTCTCCTCCAAGGACGCAGTGGACAACCTGCGGGCCGGGTCCTGGCCGGCTCCAATGAAGACACTCAACGTGTACGAGAGCAGCGAGCTCCCCTCGGAGTACTACTACATGACCCACGGGCTGTGCCTGTACGAGGTCTGGATCCACATCACCAGCCTCAAGATGCATCGGGCGAGCCGGTACGCGAGCAGCATGCCGAGCATCGAGGGAGTGAAGAAGGAGGCAGCGCACAACTGGCGGGCGATGACCCCAGGGCAGCGAGCCGACATGAGGAAGACCCTCCATGCCCTGGTGCACCAGGCATACGGAAGCTGCGTGAGGAAGCAGGCGAAGGGGGAAGCTGTGGGTTGGATAGATCGGAGAGCGGAGAAGGAGGCGATGGTTCAGAAGGCTGCTGCTGCTTTCGTTGCCTTAGAGGATGACGCTGACTATGCCATGAAGCCAGGGAAGGCTGCTCCTCCCCGGGTTGGCTGCTTCAGCTTTCTGGGAGGGAAGAAGCCAACCCCCGGCTTCAATGTCACCAGCGACGTTGTGGTCACACAGTAGCAAACTGGTCTCATCGCTTTATCAGAGCTCTGCGGAGGTGAGCTCAAGCCTTCGCAGGAAGGAATCTCATTGAGCAGGAGTGTGTAGCAGCAAGAGAAGCTATGGCCTTCTCTTACAGCCACAATGGCCGCAAGGACTTGAACGGCTACTGGGTCTCTGGTGTACAACCCGTGTTCAGCAACAGATTGTGCAACGTACGGGAGGTATTTCCTGTACTGGAGTGTGTTCATGTTATCAATAAAATTCATATGTCTACTATTCACCTTTGAATATGATCCAGCGAAGGTGCCTTGAACATTTGCTGTAGACGTCTGCATACAGCTTCGGAGTGTTACCCGAATTTGGTTGCGTTGAGTGTTAGTGTAGTGACTTGTGAAATTCCTTTCAAGTGTTCCCCCCTACCCAATTGTTTGCTTTATGACCTCTGGACTACTGAATGTTGTACAACGCTCGCCTATCTGCTTCCGAGCAGGTCTCTCAACAACAGCTTTCAGATAATGACTGACGATCCGAGGGGGATGCTGATGAACAAGGACAACCGCACCTTCACGCATTCAGTGGGGATAAAATCGTTGGAAGACCTGGCTCAGCAAGTAGCGTCTCTCCCGGCATCCGGGGCGATTGGCATGCCAAGCTCTATCTGCTCTTCCAGTCATGGATGCCCATGCTCTACTCATGGCTCAAATCAACAACTTGCCTGGGTTGAGTTGGATACCGCCAGGCAGACCCCGCAGAAGGATGTGCTCGCGAGGATCTGGGTGGTACAGAGGTAGCAGCAGCAGCAGCAGCAGCAGCAGCAGCAGCAGCAGCTCTAGAAGTCGAGTGAATTTACAAGTCGCGGCCCAATCAGTTGCATAGCATCACAACGGTTGTCGCGGCCAACAGGAGCCCAGCCAATCATTTGCCACATACAACGCACGGACAGAGGTACTCAAGGAGCTCCTTCAGCTCCTGCCTGGTGGATTAGAATTCCTCCATGACCGCGTCATACGACGGGTCGCATATCAGTCAGTCGCTCCTTAATGCATCCTATGAGACTCATCGTGACGAGCTCAGTCTTGCAGCTCTGCTGAGCATCGACACTTCCATGCGTTCACCACAGCCTGTCTCTCAAGATAGGCCGGAAGCACAAGCCTGGACATGCGCAGAGGATCAGGAGAGAAGATTCCACCGGGACGGCAGCAACAGGCAAAGAAGGCGACCCGTCCAAGGACCGGCAACAAGTCAGGTCTGCCCTAACCGAGAGCGCACAGAAGCTCGCTGCTTTCACTGCGGGCAGCGAGGCCATCAAGCATCAGATTACCGTCGCGCTGCACGCGGGGAAAAAAGGAAAGGAGGAGGGAAGGCGGGAAGAGGTCCTGCAGGATGAGCAGAAAGTCAAACAAGCACTTGGATGCGGAGGAGATCATTCGAGTGGAGGCCTCCCTCAAGAAGCTGCAATCAGAGATGGACGAGTGCAACATGATCCAGCATTTCTTCAAGCACTCCCTTGCCACCAGCGTTCTCGGTGAGTCCCCTCCGTGCATGGCGGGCTGCATGAGAGCTGACCGAGCCTTGTTGCAGACTTGCTGGACAAGGTGGAGGAAAGGAAGATCAGGATCAGAGGGAAGATAGAGACTGTAAGTCTGACAGTGCAGCGTTGCAATCTCTTATGGTCCTGCCTGCAGCTCAAGATCACGAAGGACTTGTACACTCACAAGAACGTCTCCCTCAAGCACCATCGAGCGATCAGCTTGCCATCTGGAGTGAGGCTCACGTGACCTAGTCTGGTTCACGGGGGACAGCCTTATGCTGTCATGTATTCTAGCTCACATGTACAATGAAACACCTGTTCGTCTCTTGCTCTCCTCCTCTCACTTCACTCGCTCAGATCCTTGTGTACGCTTGCGACACCACTCTCGACCCTCGTCTCCCTCCGAACTCGATGGTCGGGTATGAAAGCCCCCCAGCTCGCTTGAACCTCTTCGTCTCCTCCAGCAGATGTTCCAGCTCCTCCCCAGCAAAGTTGCAGCTTGTTAACACGAGGAGACCTCCTGATGAAGGCATGAGGGGAAAGAGCAGAGCATGAGAGGAAGGGAGGGAGGGAGGGAGGGAGGTATGACGATGAGGGTACGGGAGCCGCCCAAGGGCTTCATGGCGTAGAGGAGCGAAGGCGAGGTACAAGGGGAATCTTTGACTGTGAGCCTGGCACATGTCAGGAGGTAAGCGCTGACATGCTCCTTGCTGCTCAAGCTGATGGCGTCCAAGGTCCCCTGCGATGGGTGAGGAAGGCGAGGAAGAGAGATGGGGAAGGATAGCCCAGTAGGGAGAAGGAAGAGGAAGAAGATAGGAGGGGGGAGAAGCCCTCATGGACAGGACTCCGGAACTTCCGAAGGCGAGGGAAGGCGAGGGAAGGCGAGGGAAGGCGAGGGAAGGCGAGGGAAGACGAGGGCCCGGAAGGCGAGGGAAGGCGAGGGAAGGCGAGGGAAGGCGAGGGAAGGCGAGGGAAGGCGAGGGAAGGCGAGGGAAGGTGAAGGCGAGGGGAAATGAGTCGGGAGGGGAGGGAGGGAAGCGTTGTTCTTGGAATGTTTCAGTTGTGATTCTCTCTGTCGCAAGTTTTCAAGTTCATGGCATTCGGACCAATGCACTGCGGCAGTGCTATGCCGCGGCGGATTACGGTCACTAGTACTATCTCTTTACTCAAAGTTAAGTTAAAAACCAGTAGGCTACTAGTAATATCTCTTTACTCAACTTGAAGTTAAGATTCGGTTCCCTACGGTCGATAAACTTTACTCAGTCAAAGTTAACTGAGTTAACCTAAACCCTACGGTCTATACGCCGGGACGGTGCGCTCTCGGAAAATAACGGAGGCAACAACCGTTACAGGACGCAATGGCGAGGCCGAGATGAAACGATTGGATGCTTGAGGGCTTTTGCTCAAAGGGGAGGCGAAGGAGGGAGGAGAGGAGGAGAGAGCAGAGGAGAGGAGAGGAGAGGAGGAGAGAGGAGAGGAGAGGAGAGGAGAGGAGAGGAGAGGAGAGGAGAGGAGAGGAGAGGAGAGATGGTAAGAGAGGGTAGAGAGGAGGAGATCAGAGGTGATGGAGATAAGATAGCAAGGAGAGGAAGTATGGAGGGAAGAGGAATAGAAAGGGAGGGGATTCATATTGCTCACATTCTTATAGCAGGCAGAACGATACCAGACAGATGTGTAGCCGCGCGCGAACAATGCCAAGACGGGAAAGACCCTGATGCACACCTGCACACACATGAATCAAGCCCTCCTCTTCGCCGTCCTCCTCCTCCTCTCTGAACCTTTAGCGTCAACAGCGTTGGGCAGGGTTCAAGTCAGCTATCCTGAGCTGCCCGCTCAACGCGTGAGGGCTAGAAGGCAGCAGGATATATGGAGGGAGCAACTACCAGCGTCTCTCGTCTCGAGCTCGACCAATTTCGACCTGCTGAGACTGAGCGGGGGCAGCCAAGGACTGCTGGGAAGCATCAAGATGTGGATATGGACAATTGCAAGGTAGTGGAGGAGAGTTGAAGAGGACGCTTGCAGCTGAGGAGGAGGGAGCAGGGAGCAAGGAGGGCAGGAGCAGGAGCAGGAGCAGGAGCAGGAGCAGGAGCAGGAGCAGGAGCAGGAGCAGGAGCAGGAGCAGGAGCAGGAGCAGGAGCAGGGGCAGGGGCAGGAGCAGGAGGAGGTTTGCAAACGGGAGTCAACGATGTGCATTGAGGACGGAAGGGAGAGGAGAGAAGAAGCGAGGACATTGGGCAAGGGAGGGGCGAGAGCGAGGAGGTTCTGAATGTTTTGTCGCAGCTACGTCATCACAGCTGCTGAGATTGAATGTTTCCGACTTGACCTCTTCTCCTCCTTGCTGAAAGGTTAACATCTTCCCTCCTAGCCAGTTCCTCCTCTGCTCATTCGACATCTGTACCTCCCCCTCTCCTCCCCTCTTGCTTTTCTTCAATTCCTTTTCCTTCGCGTTTCCACTGCTGTCCTCCTCCTCGTCCTCCCACTGTTTACTCTACTCCGCCCCCGCACTTCTCACCCCCTCGCCTCCTCCTCCTCCTCTCTTTCCCCCCATTTCTTTCATTCTTCTCTCCCGTCCTCGTGCTGACTTGGCTTCCCATGAACAGGTCAACTCCTCTCCATCTCATCGGAGGAGGACGACAGGACACCGCAGGCCCCTGCTGCCCAATCGTCTCCCCTCTTGCCAGCAGCTGGAGCAGGTGGAAGGAGCGACGGGCGGGACGAGAGGCCGCCGGAGTCAACGGCGACGAGCATCAGCATCAGCGCTCCCAACGCTACGCTGAAACCTTCTAGTGCGATTGAGGCTGCGCAGGACAAGGATGCCCCTCCAGCAAGAAAATGCCGCGTTCTACAGCAGGCATCGTCCTCTCCCCTCCTCTCCTTGTTGACCTTCGATCACTCCTCTCTCCACTCCTCTCCTCCGTACTCCTTCCCTCTCCTCCCTCCTCCCCCTCGTCGTCCTTTCCTTCCCCCTCCTCCTCTCTCTTCTGTTTCCCCTCCTAACTCCTCGTTCACTATCTCTCTTGCCTGCCCTCGCCCCTCTTGCCCTCCCCTCCCGTCTTTCCTCTTCTTCTCTCCTCCCCTCCCGTCTTCCCTCTTCTTCTCGCCTCCCCTCCCGTGTCCCCTCTTCTTCTCTCCTCCCCTCCCGTCTTCCCTCTTCTTCTCTCCTCCCCTCCCGTCTTCCCTCTTCTTCTCT